TTGATTATTAAATATTTTCAACAAATAGTCAGGAATTTTATAAAAAGAATAAATCCCTTGTATGCTCATACATAAGTTATACATTTTCAAACTTTCTATTTATTTTTATTTTATTTTATTTAATTTAACTATTATTTTATTTTATGTTATGTAGCAAAAACTATTTAGCTTTTTGCCTTTGAGGCGTTATTACCGTAACTTTAATTTTTTGATTCAAATTAACCATGAACATTTGTATTCGAGTTAAAAAATGCGCAAATTTCAGTTTAGTGGAACCGGGGTTTATTTTAGCAAAATTCAGCAAATTACAAAAAATGGCATAACTTACGCTAATTAGCTTAAAAGAATTTTAATTTTAAACTTAACAAATATTAAAATCGAAAAATTGTATATTCGTTGGTCGTACACAGTTTTAATCGGTACAAAAATTCATTTCATTTTCAATTTAAATCGCATACACAATTTTTCGCTTCAACAATATTTTCTACGAATTTTTGTATGTATCTTCCAAACCGACAAGATTTCTTATTTGCTTCGCCAAAACACCATTCAACGTTGATTTTGGTACAGCTGAAACTTTTCTTCCCAACCACGCTACTTGCAGGGAATTTAATGGCACGTTGAAGCAGCAAGAATAACCGGTTTGGCACCGACAATAATTTTACTTTACTTTGCAAGCACAATCAACCTCATATGCCTACATACATACATACGAATATATTGTGGGTAATTTTGTTTAGAGTATCTGTGTGCACGCCAACGTATAATTCACACACATACATGCACCATCGCTTTATCACACAGTATACATATGTGTGCATGCGTGTGAAAATGTATTTTGTAAATACGAAAGCGCTGCTACATGGACAGCAAATGCTTGGCGAATGTCGATTTTGAATTTCACAACAGATTCGTGGTGTATAGAAACTTGACGTTCCGTCGGTGTTTTCCCTCTGTGTAAATTCTTAGGTGACTTGGCTAGCAATTGTGTTATTTTGTGGCATTTTGCATATCGTAGCTAAAGCCAACGTTTGGTGTATGCTCAGTGAAATAACTGAGTTAGTGAAGTCTACAGAAGAAAATTTTGTAGATTATAAGGCAATATATAATAATCAAAGGCCAAAAGAAAGAAGAGCACTTCATACGGTGCAGGTCGCCAAACGAGCGCGAGAAAGGCTCTAGCAAAAAAAAAAAAATAGAAAAAAGGAGTGCAAGCTAAAAAAGAAATAAGTGTGCATAAATAAAGTCCAGTAAAAAGGGAGAGCAAACAAAGTACTAAATCGCGCGTAAGAAAAACATTTTTTTTTTTTAAGACATAACGCGTTAAAGTATTTCATATTTTTGGTGGAATCGTCGGTTTTCCGCCGATCTCATAGACTTTCGTAGTATATTTAATCGGCTCGTAGTAAGTGCGTTCGCCGAGCCGCGTTTTTTCGCGACAACAACAAACCCACAAAACCGATTGGTTTCTAAACAGTTTATGTAAGTTCAAAATTTTATATAAGTCTAAGTATTTTTTTTTCTTTTTAAGAAAAATTTTAACATAAGAAACTATATGAAAAATATAAAACATATGTATGTATGTAAAAAAAATATAAAAAGGACATGTGTACCTAACCTTATCATTATGATTATGGTATCACACACATATGTATGTTTTGTAGTTGGTATGTTGGTTCATGTTGTACATACATACATATAAGCTACATAAATGCGTTTATGTTTTTGTTATTTATTATGTATGAATATATATGTATGTACATATATGCATGTATATATGTACATATGTAACGAAAGCCATTTTCACAACTTGAAACCAAGTGTCAGTTGGCGGGTTGGATTTGATCTAATATTCGCTAACAACTTGAGAACTGTAAATCATTTAAAAATCAGAAAATGGTTATCTTTACATATATACATGCATATACATATGTATATATATGTACGTATATTCATGCATAATAAAAATCAACAACAAAAACGTACCCTTATAGCTTATATGAACCATCGTATGTGCTATTATCATCATAATGATAAGGTTATGTACATACATATATATATACATATGTACAATACAATGTATACATACATATATACATGCATATATGTATGTACATATATACATATGTATGTATGGATACATGTTGTATTCAACTTGAACGCAAATTTGGAGTTCTAAGATTAAGAATCCATTGATATTGCACATCAAAATAGATTTTTAAAGTATCAAGTTAAGATTTTTTCAAGCTCTGCTTGAGTTCTTTTAAACAGAATGAGACCTTTAAATAACAAAATTTAATGTTGAGATTAATATTTTCGTTTTTACTAAGCTATCGCTTCAATTTTACATACAAACATATTGAAAATCAGCAGCATATAGCTTAGTACTATTGTCAAGCATTAAAATAATGGTTAAATTCTGAAAGAAACATTCTTTTTAAACTATCAGAGCATATTTTTTATACGAAATTTGCTTGTGCCATAGTTTTCTTAGCGAATATTTGCTATGCATATGATTGAAGAATACTTGAGAAAAATGTGTCATTATGGGCGGCTGCCCACACGCAGATAAATACATATACATACATACATACATATATGTATATACCAAACTCACGTATGACTAAAAAACCAACCACCAACACCTGCCACGAGCTGAAATCAATGAAATTAAACTGAAAATACGACTTCATTTTGTATCGTTGAATTGAAACGTAAGCAAATGTTTGATGGCATCAGCATTTTTTCTTGGAATTTACATTGAAAACACGCAGCTACATACATACGTACATACATATGTATGTATGTACATGCATACACCGCAATGTGTTGTGCTATTTTCTACCTTCGCGATTACAGCGAAATTAATTTTGTACTAATTAATATATACATATGTATATGTGCATACATATGTACATATATAACTATGTACATACTTGTGCACAACAATATGTATATTGGCAACGATTGTTCATGTTATGCCCTGCACGAACATGTATAATCTTGCTTTCGATCGTTGTTTCTACCTACAAACATATATGTATGTATATACATATATATATGTGCATCTATAGGAAGCAAAACGAAAGCTTCAGTATTACTCTATACCACCCCAAGGGTGACCGGGGGTGGCCTGATTACAGACAAATTATAGAAAGCTTTAACTGACGCAAATAAAATACAAATAATGTACTACAAACACCCACACATATACATATGCATACATACATATGTATGTACAAAAAAAAGCAACTACTGCGAAGGCAAATAAGTAATTCTCGGAAACCGATAAAAATTTGTTTGCACTTGTAATGAAAAATATTTTCTGTACATACAAACTTTCGAAGATCCATGTGTACATATGTATGTGTGTATATATGCATATAATAATATCTTTTTATCAGCCAAGGCGCACCGGCAAGCAACAAAACAAATTGCTTACATACACACACACACACAAATCTGTATGTGTGCATGTACACTACAGCCAACCATATTATTTGTGTTTGTATGTATCTATGTTTGTACATGCACAGCAAAGCTCGCTTTTATATGCGAAGGTATGCGTGCAAAAGCACTCGAGTAAATTTCCAGCTTTTATGTCCAATTGTTGTGAAATTCATTTTTGCTGACATATACATATGTACATATACATAGAAATAAATATGTATGTATGTATTTCCAATGGCCGCACCATACGGTGCCATCACCTTTATCTTTTTTAATTATGAGGGGATTTTTTCAAACAGACGTGCATACATATATATGTACCTACAATTGTACATATTTAATACTTTATATCTTTATAATTTTGTGGGCGAACTAATAAGTTCATGTTCATGCATACATACATATGTACATATATGTTGACAGATTCTATCACAGCGTATTTAGTTGAAAGTTATCGCAATTAAAATAAATTAAACTAAAATTTTTAGGCAATATGTGCAAATGTACATATGTACATACATATGTATGTATATATGTTGAGATTTGTGCGCACGTTCGTGGAACATACTTGCACAAATATAAGCACAATTAAAACTGAAAGTCATGGTCCAACATACGCATGTGCATACATACACACATACACATATAAATACATACATGCATATGTATTTTAATCACACCTATCTTCATATGTAATTTTGATAGAAAACACGAGGCGTAATCGCTATCATTATACATACATATGTACATAAATTAGAAATAGAATAGAAAAGGTTTTTCTATCTACAAGTATCTATTTGTTGTTGTAGCATTACTTTTGTGCACGTACATACATACATACAATATGTACCTTGGAATTATAGATAAATGCCACCATTTTGTAGATTTTTTGATTTACGAATATTCTGTTATAGTAAATCACAAATGCGTATGTACATCTATATAATTGATATGCCGTTACTTGTACTTATGTTCTCCTTTATGTACTATTTCATTTGAAAGTCTAAAAATTCTTATTTCATTTTTATATACTTATTTCTTTTTTGCTCCAAAAACAACTGCATTCTTCTATATGCCATTAAAAGCCACTTAATGAGCAATAATGTATTTTTTTTAGTTTTTTATGTTAATTTTTTTTTTTTATTTTACATAAAGGTGTAATTGCTGAAAACAAATCAAATATCATTTTTGAACTTTTAATTTCAAATTTTTATATCAAAAAAAAAAATTCAATCGTTAGCCAGAAAAACTTTTACTTGAACTCTTTAGTATTTTACACACTATTCGTAAGCCCAAATGGCAGACTTAATCGTCGTAGACTAAATTAAGCTAAAAAACAACTTTTCAAAACCATTTTTCAAAAAATTTTATCCAAACTTGCTTATATGCTTGTATTTAGGTTTAAGCCAAGACTGATATTTATCGGCACATCTTTTACACTGTTCTTATTACATAAATATATATTTATTGCTTTTTGATAGTAATATTATAAGTGTTTGCTTATATGTATGTATAATAATAAAATATTTATTTCTCTCTTTTCTTTACAGTCTGAAGGGAAACTGCATCTAAGGCTCTATTTAGAGACCGTTTAGAGGTTCCCCTACAATTTCTTTATTTGTTTACAACAGTGAGTTAAAAGTAAGTACATTGATTTAAAGAAAAAATGAATTAACAGTTTATAATTAATCATATACATAAACACTTCATAAGTAAACATCACTACTTAGAGTTCCTATATACAAACATATATGTATGTATATATATTTAAATAGAAATATTTCATAGACCAAATTAAATTATTATTTTCATAGTTATTAATTTGAGCATACGCTATATTTAAGTAAAATTTAAACAATTATTTTAATTTAAAATTGTACTGAAAATCAGTGTTAACAGAATTTATTCAGCAATCCAGCCTAATGGGCTAAAAGTAAGAGCTAAAAACCAGCCAACAAAATTTCTGTAGAAAGCTTAAAAGGAAGCTAATAGTTTTTAGCCAAAATATAAAAATTTAATTCAATTGTTTTAATCAGTTTTTATGGAAAATAAAACACGCAACAAAATAGAAATTTCTTAAACACAAAAATTTAAACTCATTCGTAGTCTCGTGCCACAACTCAAAAGGAAATAACGTTTTTGAAAAATATATGTAAAATTTTCTTCATATTGTACTTCTGCAGCGGATGTATCAACTTTCTTAAACTATTTTTCGTATCAATATAAATTACCTATTTAATTTGAACTTTTCTACATTAATAATGGAAATTTTTATTAATTTTTTTTTTTTGAAGTTTTAAAATTTTTTAACTGCTCCAGTTAAAATCCCATAAAATGTGTTTTAGAAACATAGTGTAAATTGCAGTTGTTAATGATGAAGAGACTTTGAAATGATCGATAATTTTTCCACAAAAACATCATTGGCAGGCCTATTCTGTCGAGGTAACAAAATCTACCGAGGTATTAAAATTTGCCATTCAGTAAATTTTGTGACCATTTCGCATTCTGAGCTCACTGTTACCCTGTAAATTTTGCGACCATTTCGTATTCTGAGCTCACTGTTACCCTGTAAATTTTTTTTACCAGCGAAATAGGAGGTAAAAAAATCTTGTGTTTGATTTTGTGTTGTTAAATTGAGAAAAAATAAAAAACCAAAATGGGTAGGCATATTTTAGGCCTGGAATTCATTGAAGATGAAGAAAAAAATTCAAAAAGCCGTATTTTAAGAAGTTTTCGAGACTAAAAAATAGCCCTTTAATTTGTAAGATAACGTTTTCATTCAGCTTTTTTTGTTGTCCAGGCATATTTTCCATAATTAGGTTCAAATATTTATTATTTAATAAAAAAATTAACAAAACTTTTTAATTTTTTTTTGTGCACCGTCTTCCATTTCGATGTGAATATTTTTCTTTTTACTTTAAAAGTAACAAAATTTACTTCACCGGTAACAGTGAGAATAGGCCTGTAAGGGTGCTACTGAGATTTCGATCATGTCGAGATGTCGTATAGTTCAACTTTGTGGCAACATGTTGGCAAACAAATTTCAATTTTCTTAAATCTTAACCATGCTAAAAATAGCAAAAAATTTTCTCCAAAAAAAACCGAAGCTAAATTTCATATTTTTCCAGCTATGCGTCGAAAACTAGTACAAAATTTTGTTTGCGCTTCTTGACACAATCCAAACGAAAAAATTTCAGTGTATTTTATATATATATATAAATATCATATTTAAAATTAATAACTGTTATTATGAAACATACTATTATATAGAAGTTAGTAAAAACCTATTTACATTGATAATCTGTATTATTTTATGTATACATACATACACATTTACAACTAAATAAAGGACTAGCTTTTTATAAATAACACTTAAATTGTCCAGATTTTTATTACTTACAATTATGAAAAATTTAAAAAAAAAAATTAAGTATTTTATTTATATTTTTCTTTATTAACTATAAGTTGGTATCCGAAATTCAATCATAAATTTTCGAGAAAGTCCAATTTTCTTGTGCAAATTTCATTTCCTAGTTTATTACAACAACATAAATAATGAACCATCTACTAATTGAGAACTTAAAAAAAAACGTTTAAATCAAATTCAGTTTTTTCTAAAAAGAACCAACAGAAACGACGAGAAATATTTGTTAATTTCAAGGCGAGATAAAATTATAATAAAATAAAATATTTTCTTAGCTGAACTAGTATTCTAAATAATAAACGAAATATTAAACTTTCCGGGATGGTACCGCTAGTTAGATGTTTTTCGACAAGAATTTTGACACATCATTAACTACGATTTACTACTAGAAAGCAAAAAATAACAGCTCCATTGTGTTACCGCGGAAAAGATTTCTTACATTTTATATCGAAAAATTGTCGCCAAACTTATTGTTTATGAAGAAACGTTTTCAAGATTCTGCAGCATAAATCTCCTTAAACTGGACCAATCACAAAAGCTAAGGATGACTCCGCCCTGTACCTTATTAATCGTATAATCTCACAGGCGAGAAGAATTGGGAACAAGAATTTTTGCGGAAAGTTTAATATTTCCTACATTGCTTGGAACATTAAAGATCTATTTGAAGGTGATACACTTATAGCTTACGCCAACAACAATGTGTAATAAAAAATTAAACAGGAATTTCATACATTTTTTCTTTTTTTCCAAAAAGGTTTTTTGTTAGTCCGTTTTATGCGTGTTTTTGAAAAAAAAAAATTTACTACATAAAAACAGTTAGCCACAAATAATAGGTATTTTTTTTAATATAAATCATGGAAACTGTACAATTCTACATTATTAACTTTCATATACATATATGTATGTGCTGTATATAAATTTATATATGTATACAAACATACAGCATCCCGTTTGTCCACACTCATCCATGTTCATCGAATGAAATGTAGATGACTATGAAATTCATATGTACATAATAAACTAATTTGTATTTGTTTTTGTTGCTTTGTCCTTCTGTTTGAATTTATATTAATACAATTTTTTCTATTTTATCTATTTTTCTTCCACACCGAATTTGCGTTTGCTCCACTCATACAAATTTATATACGAAACTGTCTGTCGAATTTTGGTGTTGATTTGCGAAAATAATAAAAATAATAATAATATGTCAATCAAATAAACAAAAACGAAAAATAATCGAAATGATTCCAATAAACCAAAAAAAAAAATCAAATGCACATAATAATGCACTTACAAACATACAAATGCATATGTACTGATTACATGTTGTTTTACGGAAATTCGAAAAAAAAAAAAACAAAAAAAAAAAAATTGCGAATTGAATGAAAACTTGTTGCGTGTTGTAATTTGCTGGCACTCGTTGTTGTTGCTTTTATCAAATTCCTCAACTTATTAACAGCCCTGTTCAAAATGGCATCATTCACCGTCGCCCAGTCTAGCCAAACACGGCCCACAAGCGTATCAAACAACAACAACAACCACAGCAACAGCAAGAGCAACAGCAACAGCGAAATCCAGAGCATCTACGGCAACCAGAACAATTATATTACCGAGAACAGCAGCAGCAACGGCAACTACAAGAACAACAACGGTATTACCAAGAAGGATTACGAATACGGAAAATCAAAACAATATAATACTGACGATCCAGGAGCCCCAACAGCAACAACAACGACCAATATCAGTAGCGCAAATATACGACGCTACAACGAATTTGTCATATCCGAGCGAGACCGTTACAGAGCCGGAAACTATAGAGATTCAATTGAAGCCAACGCAAAGACTATTGATTATAACGTCAGCGCCTTCAAGTGGCCAACCGAAGATAGTGCAAATTCGAAGACAACCGCGAGCGCAAACGCGAACGCAAACGCAAACGCAAACGCTATTGCAGCAAGCAACACAGCAGCAGCAAGTGCAGCAGCAGCAGAAGCAACAACAATCGAGGAGAATAATCAATTTACAACAATTACAAAGAGCACGCTTAGCAAGATTAAGCAGAATAGCGAAACCGAGTGCCTCAGCAATCAGGGTACCCTTTTTACCAGGCTCGCCGTCAACGCCGTCTACAGTGAAACTGAGTTCGCCAATAAGGAAAAACTCAAACTTGGTGACTTTAACATCCCCATTAACGTTGGTAGAAGGTCTACCGACCAACAATCGAAATACGATTACGCAAATAAAGCAAACGCAATCCCCAGCGGCTACAAACACCGTCTATTATACAACATTGGATCTGAATCCGAATCAGACGTCGGCGATCCACACGACTCAATCACCAAATTTGTTTGTACCGTTACAACAGCAGCAACAATCGTCGCATTCATCTGTGCAATTTTCGCAAACGCAAACGCAAACTCAAACGCAACCACCAAAGACACTAGCCGCCATGGCTGGGATTCAGTTGACAGGTGCCGACGAGCATATGTCACTCGCGTACATGAGTGGAGCAACGCCTACTGCTACAGTTGAAGAGATAAATGTTCCGGTATTCATTGATGGTGAGTACTGTGTTTGAAGTGGTGTGAAGTTGAAGGTGAATGATGATGATGATGATGATGATGATGATGACGTGTACGCATACCGATATGAACCGATGCAAGTGCAAATCACAAACTACATAAACGTAAATAGATTGAATGTTTATAAAAACAAATTATTAATGATTTTTGCATACATAGAAACATACATACAAGTATTTACGTACATTTCAAAAAAAAAAACATATACAAAATAGTAAATAAAACTTTTATATATTACAAATATATGTATGTATGTAAGTACATACACATGTATGCAATATATGCATGTAAATACTATGTAAAAGTATGTATGTATGTATGTGTGTATGTAAAGTATGTGAATACACGCCCGGTTCAGTGGCATGGTCGGTATAGATGGCCCAACGTCTGTGCCCAGCCGAGCTGGCGCTGCAGCGTACGCACTCCTTACCGACCCATATGCCGATTTAGGTGGTACGCGCAGGTAGAGCACAGTGCAATGACCCAGGCAGAAAACCTTGGAACAGTGTCGGCGCAAGAGTGACGTGTCCAATGAGGCACATACTCGTAGACACAGTGGCGCGCAGAAAAGCAGTAAGACAGTAGTATAACACCAACAACAAGTTGGCTGATATCAAATTAGCAGATGTTTTTTTTTCTTATTTTACACCCATGAAATGTAGGGAGGCAGCAACTGACGTTTTTTTTTAAATTTACTCTTTTTTTACATTTCTAAACAATTTTTTTTTTGGAAATTTTTAAATTTTGCCTATTTCTAAGTGTGTTTTAGAGAAGTCAAGCAAACGCAAAAAATTTTAAAGAATATCCAAAAACGGCAAACCATTTTTCAGAATAATTTAATAAAATTAAAAAAAAATAATAATAATTTTTCTGTGTTTCGCTAAAAATTTTCGCTGATGCCTTCCTACATTTCATCAAAAATATTTTCTATTCTTTTTAAAATGCATTATTTATACATAATTTTGCTCTCAATAATTGTTTATACTCGAAATTGTTGTAGTAGAATTGAATATTCATACAGCAGCAGATTTTGTTTAAATAACCACGACAGTTGGGAGAACCCTTAAGATAATTTTTGTAAAAATATAAATTATATTTTATCTCCAATTTGATTGTTACATTTTTTTTAACATTTTTGGCGCTTAAAGGCAGTAATTGTCTTCACTTTGATATAGGTTCAACTAACGCTTGCCTTATAAAAAAAAATTTTTTTTTTTAAATAATTTTGAAATATCTTTGAAAAGAAAAATTTCAAATCAAAATCTAAATTTCTTTAAAAAAAACTTAATTCTAATTGTCTCATTTGGGAAAAAGTCAATTAAAAGTAAATTCTGTATATATTACTTTCTTAGAAAAGAATATATATACGAGGTTTTGTTTTCTCAAAAATTATTTATTTATTCATGAATATCTATTTTGTCCCCTTCACTTGTGCTAACGGTTTCAAAAAATCATTTTTTTATCTTGTTCAGCTCCTCCTTCGATGCCGTCTTAATCTCGTCAATCGTAGCGTAACGTTGTCCTTTCATTGACCTCTTCAGTTTAGGGAACAAGAAAAAGTCCCAGGGGCCAGATCTTGGGAATACGGTGGCTGCGGCATCATTAGTGTGTTGTTTTTGGCCAAAAAGTCGCGCACAAGCAACGATGTGTGAGCAGGGCGTTATCGTGGTGCAAAAGCTAATTTTGGTTCTATCACAAATCCGGTCGTTTCTGTCGGATTGCTTCGTGCAAATTGCGCAAAACTTGCAGGTAATACTCGCTATTGGCCGTTCTACCCTGTGGCAAGAACTCATGATGCACCACGTCCCTGCAATCGAAGAAAACTGTCAGCAAAACTTTCATTGAAAATTAGAAATCGAAGACCATCCAAAACGCGCGCAAGCAAAGCAGCAGTCAACAATTAAGTGAACATTCAAAATGGCTGAGCTTGTCGGCATGAGTGACAGACATGAGTACCAACAAAAACGCCACAAAAAAATCGAAATTCGATTACACGTAACCTGCGAAAATTCAAAATTCGCGATACTTTTTGAACACACCTCGTATATAATATATATATGTAAAAAATAACAACAATTTTAAAGGTTTGTCCGAAAGAACTTTCTCATTCCAGCATATAATGTTAAAATGTCCGTCGAAGTTTATGTTTGCATATTAAAAGTCATATGAATATACATACATACATATGTACACAATAGAAGGACTTCGTATCTTTCAATAAAAAAAAGTTATAATTAAACGCAAACAAAAACAAATATTTTTAAACACCTGAAAAATGCGAACTTTCTAATTATAAAAGCCCTTTGCTATATAAAAATATATTTATACACGCATTAGTTACTCTAATTTACTCGTCTGACTCATTGCTTTGCCTAGTTTTCACAGTGAAAATGTAAAAATTTACTGTGATTGTTGCCGTTTCGTTAGCTGACTTGTTTTGGGGGACATGATCAGCAATTAAAATCGAACACGTATGTAATTATCTATATATGTATGCATATGCATACATTTGTACATATGCACATATGTACGTGTACATACTTATATATCAAATGTACAATATAATAGATATTTCGTTTAAAGATTACATTCAAATAAATTTAAAACCCACTAAATGCAAATAAATATATGTACATGCATACATACATATGTAAACGTCTGTACTCAAGTGTGTCTGAAGCCATGCCGATCATTTGAGTATTGTACTACATAATTTTCTTTTAATTTACCTGCATAAACCACTTCTGTGATAAAGCTCACGTTCACCAACATTTACCAACGATTTAGTGTAGACAGGTGCAATCGATGAGTCATCGCATCATCTCCAATGTAAGCCAATAAGAAGGTACAGCTAATTATTTAGTGATAATTTGCCTATACATACATACATACATTTGTATCATATTAAATATAAATTTTTCTGATTAAAAAGTAATTTTCTGTTTTCTTATTTTCACAATAAATTTCTTCAACGTTCTTACCTAAATAACGTGACGTGTCGTATGCAAACGTATGTACATACATACATATGTACATAAAATTTATTTGCAAGTGAAGCAAAAAGTGAAGCTCATACGCCTAGGAGGGCAAAAATGTACTACGTGTCACTGAATTTTATACGTGCACATACATACATAAATGCTAAAAGTTATTTAAATTTTTTAATCACAAAAAAACATACATAATTAACCACCTATCAACGTGTATGTATGTATGTTTGTAGATTTTTGTATTCAAAACCACTTACATACAATGAACACATGATAGCCACTTGAGGTCCGGAGATTACATAAATCAGTACGGAAATTATTTGCCGTTAAAAGCTTTGTAAAAAGTTAAAAAGTTTTAAGTTTCAAATATTCACATAAAATCAATTTTATTGTAATATACTCGTAATATAAAACAATTTGAAACTACTTATAGAAAAAGTGTTAAATATTTTGATTGTTTTTCAGTTTTCACTCATACATACATATGTACATACATGTGTTTATGTGTATATATCTAATGTGTATAAACATTAAACAAATTCTAAAAAAAATACATACCAAAACTTTCATAAATTATAAATTTTTCATAAACCAAATATTCGCAATTTCTTTGTTGTGAAATTCACTTACCCCACAAGCACCTGCGCGCTCCCTCTACTCTCCAACAAACACATATTCATATGAATATATGTACATACTCCATATGGATGTTCTGCTCTCTTTTGTGACTAGCAGAAGTACGAAAAAATGACAAAAAAAAAACTTCAAAAATCACATTGGTAGGCCTTTCGCCTTCATTCACGCATACAAATAGCCAAATGATTTAATTCTCTTACGAATGTGTTTATTTCCCCTTTTGGAGCGAGCCCATATCTAATATGTATGTATATACACTTCATAAATATTTGCAACTCTCAATTAATTACGAGTATATCATCGATATATGATATGTACATATGTATTGTCTTTGTCTCGCATAGCGATCGGCTGAAGAGTCAACTCGTCAACACTGCTTGAAACTCACAATGTAGGTCAGTACAAAAGAAAAGAAGAGAACCCATAATAAACTGTTAAAATGTTTAAATGTTATTAACATCGTCGTAGGGCAGATATGACAAGAAGCATTGTAATCGAAAGAGTCAAATAAAGCCTTGACAACATAAACAAGCTATCACAAGTTAGATACTTTTATTTCTTGTTTTTCGTGCAAATATTTTTTATATACATTTTTTTATAATATATAAAGAAGAGCCTCTAATCACTTGCATACAAAAAAAATATATTTATGTATGTACAACTACATTACAATACAAACTTAATTTTCCGCAACAAAATTTATCTTCCAACATTTCCCCTACAATCAGTCGCCATTTGGAGTATGAAACCATTTTGTAACTATCGTTAAATGCTTAAAGACAATGCAGCTAGTGGTAGCAAAATGGCTTATTTCAGCGCTTCATGCACAAACGCCATTTTGTTTTTTTAAAGAGACGATGGATAAGTCGTGCCTTGAGGCGAAAATGATCGTTAAATCTGAAATAAAAGTTATTTAAGTTTCTATACATATGTATGTACGTATGTATGTATGTACATATTCATGTATGCATATGCATGTTGTAAAATGGCTTTTTTAGAGATTTTTCTGCTTTCTTTTGATATTAATATGCATAATACAACAAAATGTAATAAAAAGGTCTTAAATACAATACGTCAGCACATGCACTTGTGTATGCACATTCATACCTTTAAAATGGATTCTTCAAAGAAATGTTTTAATTTTACTCAGCAAGTCTGATTTATATTAAATAAAAACATTTTTTATCATACATATAATATTTGAGGACATAAAAATGTATGATGGACGACACTCGTATTTCGCGAAACAATCATAAGCAATTGTTAATAGTTACATTCAGTCTATGATGCGCTTAAATTAAAAATAAGTAACTAAAACCAAAATTGTTTATCACAAAATTAAATCAAATGAATATATAAAATAGAATAATAAATAAAATACAGTAATTTAAATTGAAATATGTCAAGAACAAATTTTTATATTTTTCTAATAGAGTACCAAAATACACCAGGTGCTTTGTACGTACATATGTATGTATGTAAAAAAATATATAAAATAAATATATTCAGAAAAAAAATGCATCAGCTGCGTCAGTTTGTCTGTGTTTAGCTCCAACAATGCAAACAGTCACTAAGCAGACATACATACAAACATAATTACATTACATTCGCTTAGGACCACTCCTCCTCCCACTGTCTACCCCTTTACAAAGAATGTTATCAAATGTTAAAAACCCATTTCCCACTCAGCTGTTAAATGGCTCACTTAAAATTTACATATGTACATATATTAACATGTCCGTACATCTTCTTCACACACATTTGTTGGCATCAATTAGCAATACTGCTTAGAAAGGGATGTCAAAAATGTGGGCAAGTAGTACTTGCGCACAACAAATATAACATAACATAACATAACAGCAACTGATCCATCATTTAACACGCTCCCCTACTAGTGATGTAAGGGCAATAGTTGATAATATGAGATGAGAGAGGCTTGTCGGCCACTGAACCACTTGCTGCAAAACAAGCGAAATGAGTGAATAAACTGTTTTCAAGATCACCCATTCAAGATCAACACCTGATATTGCACCCGCTCACTCCAAAACACCTACAGCTGTTATATTTTGACTATTGAGGGGCTCAACTTAACATACTAAGTGTACACATCCATACATATACCTATGTACATGCATACGTAATGGAGCTGTGACAACTATAGCAACAATTTGCCCCCAAAACGTGTCCATCTCATTCGTACGCGCTCTTATTCTCTCTTACTCACTCACACATACATAGGTACAATTTAGTGCTCTCCCCAATGAGTGAATTTTTCGCGCGCCGTCTTGCATTTGTATGTGTGTGTACGAAAGCGCCAGTGACATGAACGTGTTCATTCTTGTTCGCACGTGAACACGACTACTGCTCCCAACCGCTCTGCCTGCTTATTGGCAGCGAAACGAATACGTAGCGAGTATATTTGTTTACGCTACTTCATTAGTTGGTCAAAGTTATAGCAGCAGCGAAGCAAGTAACATCGTTTGCGGCAAACGCCACCGGAGCAAAGGTATTTACACATTCAAAAATATTTCGATACTTAGAATATTTTGATATTTGGCCGGCTGCAATGGGTTGCAATAATTAAAACTAGAGTATGCAACATATTGTATATACATATATATGTATGTATGTACATTATGTCTGTATGTGGGTATGTGCGATTATTGTGACTGCGTCTCAAAATTTTATAATTTATTATTATTTTTTTTTTATTACAGTGTGTTGTTTTTTGGGTCTAAAACACTGATGTACATACATATGTGCATATACTTGTATACATATATTTGTAGAAAATAATATACAAATGTTTCATGTCCGTATGCTTGAAAAGTAATGCCTTTTTATGCAAAAAATATTTTCACATAAAAATGTTTTTAGCTCGAAATGGTTGTGTTTTAAAATTTGAAAGTTTAAAAAGTTTTTTTTATTTACTTTTAAATATTTTTTAACAACCATGCTTCTGAGCTAAGAAAAATAGACCCCTGTTAAATATTATATGCCCCTGTTAAGGTCTCCAGTTTTTTCTTTTTATTTTGCCCAAATTAAACAAAAAAAAATGTGCACAATAAAATTATATACAAAAATTATTAAATAAAAGTTAGAATTAATTTGTATATTTTGAATAAGTAAAAAAAAAATAACAGTGATTTTTTAAGAACACACTTTCGAATATTTATTTATAAAGCCAACTGAGAAGTGTTTAATACTTTGATTGAAATCTAATTTAAATCGTTTCTTGTGACAAAATTGATTTAATGCGCGTTAAAAGCAAAACAAAATGTATTCATACATACACACATACTACAATACGTATAATAAACGTTTACATGCGACACAAAACAAATCTCTACTGGATAAAAAGATTGCACCAAATTTTACGATTTTATACAAAAATAAAAATATTCACAATTTATTTCCTGCAAAATTCTTCATATTTTAAAACGACAAATTAATTAATTTTTCATATTGAATGCTAAAAGTGAAAATGTTATTTGTTTTTGGCTTTGTGTATTTCATGCATTCCAATTTTCATTCCAAAAAGAAAAACGGAAATTTTCATGCAATCAGCTGCTGCACACCTTGGCACTTGGCGGATTCAAAATCAAAACAAACATGTTTTAACGTGCTCAATGCCCAAGCAGGCAACTCTCACATAATTCCACCAATACATACATATGTAAAATATTAATCTTCTGGAACAATTTTTGCCATGAATGACATACTACATTCGTATGCACATGCCTAGGCAAAATTGCTTGTGTTGATGACTCAGTCATTCGCGCCATGCCACAGTCGGTCTGAGCTTAACAGGGTTATTTCCAAAAAAATTTGAGAGAGTAACAGACAAACAAATTTAGAGAGCAATTCGTTTTGAGAATTTTCACTTAAAGCGGGAACTACTATGCGAGTGTATACTCATATATGCACGCTCACATTCAATTTTAAAAAATTTCTCATTGTGATGTTTTAGTTTTGATTTTAAAAATATTTCATATCAAATTTTTTTTACCCACTTTAAAGAAAACAGCAATAAATTTTATACACACATGATTTTAGGTTTGAAAAATTGCAACTGCATTTTGAGAAGTCAACAAGTTGCCTCTCTCTTACTGCATCATATATATTTCACAACAAAAATGTATGTGGGTACGTGTGCATTTATGTCCGTTTGTACATACAGTTTTGTGTGCGTCACAGATTTTAACTCACACACTACGCTTTCGAAGAAGAGATGTGAAAATAAGAGAACTGTTAATCTCTCAAAACTCTCTTGCACTGGCAACACGTATAAGAGAGTGATAAGCTGAGAGTGTATGTGTTTGCCGGAAATATAATGTACCGTTTTTTGATCTACGGTTTGGTCGAACTCCCATCACCGGCTTTGTGTGCGATAACGAACTCTCATTAAGTGTTATACGCTACTGTTGAACGGATTATAATTTGATTTTGTCTCAAGGTGCGCTCAGAAATATGCAACAATTTGCAAGTACGTGGGGAAGTTTTAAATGCATGGGTGCTGCTTTTACATTTAATTTTTGGAATTTTTTTGTTTCTTAAAAGTAACAAGAATTATATTTGAGAAATAAAAAAAGTTATAAAATAAAAATATTAAAAAATCCATAAAATAAAATAAAATTTTTTATTTTTAAATATAAAAACTATTCAAATAAAATATAGTAAAATAAAGGAAAAATAAATTGAAATAAAGTATAATAAAATAAAACCAAACAAATTACACACCAAATAAAATTATAAATATTAAAAAATTGCTTATAAAATAAAATGATGTAAAATGAAATAAAAATATTTTGAAATTAAAATTTATGATTTGAAAGTATCAAAGGTTCTTAAAACATTTAGCAACATTTCTCATGTATTATTTACTTTAAGATTCTTTACATGCATAATGCAGTTAATTTTGATAATTAATGACTAAATATACATACATATGTATGTATATATTTAGCCCTAAACATCGGTCAATCGGTTTGTGTGCCAGTGTCTGCGTGCTTATGCATACTTACATACCTACATACATATCTAGATATAAACATATGTAGATTGTATGCATCATGTATATGCATCGTTTATCTGCAAAATAAAGTGCATTTTCTAACACATTACTATTTCATCTTTTTTTCGCTTATATAGAATATCTACAGCAGCCAGGAGCTACGCCTACTGAAGCAGCAACCAATATCAACTACAGCCAAATCAGCAGCAGCAACAATATTTGCCAAAGCAACAGTAGCATTGGCAGCAACGCCAACAATAATATCACAAACGGCAACGGATTTGAAGATTTTGATTTTGACATGGATTTGTTTGCGGACAGCAGTGACGCAGAGGTATACAGCAACAGCAACAGCAACAGCAACAACAATAACAACAACATAATTATCACTACCAACAACAGTGATAACAACAATATGAACAACAGCGACATCGATACTGTCGATATCTGTGACACCTTATTTAGCTGCATAAATAACAACAACATTAACAATAACAACAACATGTTACATCAACCAATAATAAAATTTGAAAATTCGCATAACTCCAGCGAACATTTGGCACTTTCGGCCGAGGCCATGTTAGAAGAATTCCTAATGGATTCAGATATCTCGGCAACGATTGGATCGCCCACATTAAATGATTTCTCCGATTTGAGCGAGAATGCCATCGACATAAACCACTGGAATTTTAATGAGCCCTTAGTGAGTTCACAAGATCCGATGTTCTCAAATCAAAGTCAAACCTGCAGTACCGTCAACAGTCAATCATTCCAAAATTCAGAGCCAATAGTGCCGAAAATTGAGGAGAATGACGAACTGCCATGTGAGGACTATGATATGTTGTGTATGGCACCGCCAGAGGCAGAAATCGTAGCACCCATCATCATACCATCATCATCCATTCCAACACACAATAGTCGTATGCAGCAGAAGCGGTTGAAGCTACATTTATCGGCCGAAACAGTAGCAGACCCACTATCGACACCAACCATACTCCGTGGTCTTGCGGATCTACAGGTACGCTCTTACTCATACTAAGATTATCGTTTTTTTTTCGTTAACTTGGTTGACTTCGGGGCTTTACTCTTCGCTTTAGCTTATTGCGTCATGCTTTTTGCTAAGTGACAGCGTAACGCTGGTCAGGCGAGTTAGTAGCTTGCGACTGCTGGCAGCATGCAAAAGTATAATTTCACAATACAATTCGACAATGTTGCTATTAAGCTCTTCATACCTAGTAATATAGCTACGAATATTCTATATTCTAATATAAACTTATTTAAAATACTTTGATCATTAATATACTACAGCATACTAATAAATAAATTACTTTTATTTTATTTTCTTACAGAATGAACGCATGGCTGTTGATTCTCCCAGATATATGGAGAGTTCCGTCAATGACATCGTAGAAGCTTTACAAGACAGTACAAATCTTCAATTCGTTTACACCGAAGATGATTTGCCATCAACGCCGCAAAGTTACACATCAGCGACGACATACACCAACGAGTACACACCCAGTTCACCCGCGCATTCAAATATATCGTTCAATCAGCTGAATACCAGCAGCAGTGCCAGTAACAAAAAGAAACGCGGACGCCCAGCGAAGGCCCATAGTGATCAACCGGATCCTATGCAATTGGAGAACATGTCCGAATCTGATCGTAAAAAGCTGTTGGATCGCGCGAAGAATAACGAGGCGAGCCGCGTGTCGCGTAGAAAAAATAAACAACGCGAAGAAAGCGAAAAGGAAATGGAGCACAAACTGTTGGAGGAAAATTCAAAGCTTAAAGCTGAATTTAGTAATATCAATCGGGAGAAATTAAAACTGAAACGAGCTCTAGAGCGGGGTCTGCGTAATCGTACTCATTGAATTCACTTGTCCATCTAATTCATAGTGATCTATTCATTTATTACATTTGTTAACTGTTGGTTACCTAAAAAAAAAAAACATATTTGTAAACATACCTACGTTAAACGTTTATGCAGCAAAATATTAATATATACATACATATATGTAATACTATATACCTATTTTAAGGTGTTATGATTAGGTTGTTCAATTGTAGACATATGTGTATGCATGCGTTGGCATGTAAATATGTATACTCCACTATTGTGTTGTTATTAAAAAAAAATTAAAAATAAAAAAAAAACAGTGGAGATTTATATTTCGTAATCAAACAAATACTTATATTTTTGAATTTTATAAGATGCATATTATATATACATACATACATTTTTAAGTTTGTATTCAAGTAAATATTCTTACACTTAATTTACAAAGTATAAACATATACAATATGTAGTTTTTAAACAAATGAAATAAAAATAGATCGTTAGTTTATAAAACAAGCGGTCAGTAAACAAACAAAAAACGGAACACTTTCATTTGGGGAGTTGAAAAACAGGCTGAAGGGCAAGAAAAATAAGATTTTCCAAGAAGTTAATTGGTATTATACATTTTTATGGAATGGAATTGGCTTCCAAAAACTACAATTCATACAAATATTAACTTAATTGTTTTCATATTTTCAGAAACTGTGTTTGCTGTCATTTATTTAATTTTTATATAAGTTTTGTTAAAAAAAATTACATTTCCAAAAAAAAAACAGCGAATTAAGCTTACTTTTTTGATTAATAGATATAAAAATCACTGCCAAACAAAAATTTAACATAACTGTTAATTAATTTTCTTCATATGTAATCAAGCCGAAAGATGGCACATAAAACGCGAAATTGTATATAGAATAATTTTCGAAAAATATTTGGCGTAAATAAACATTTTTTCATAGTTTAGCATAGCGAAACAAAAAAATGCAAGAATGTATGATAAACGTGCGAAACTCGACTAATACTCATATAGCATCAGCAAATGCAAGGCCCGGAAAACCGAGCAGTGTCCGAAATGAAACTCTACTTATCTACGTGAAACGATCGAATTTCACAATAATGCGCTCAAAAACATTTACTGCGCGATGATGACTTGCTACGATCATTGTTGGTCGAAGACCCAGCGCTTTCCTTTGTACTATTTGTTGTTTCTTCTTCGCCGAACACGGTTTCATCGACGCTCTCATCGTCGTCCGGTATATCTTCATCGCTATCGCCTCTGCTTGCCTCGCTAACGATGGTACTCTAGAAAAATTTATATATATTTTCATGTATTTGTATTAGAGTTATACGTATATAATATAGTAGACAACTAAGAAAACTGAATTATTTATATACATATACGTGTATGTAGGTTAATAAAATATGTACGCAAACGTCCACATCTAAAAAATTGTCCAGCACTGCGTATACGTCACTTATTACTACAATTACACAATAAATAAAAAGAGCGTTCTACACTGTTATACAAATGGAATGGAGCAATGAAACTATTTATTTTGTATAAAATCAGTCTTTGGCTTCAATACACAGTTTTGTTTAAAATTTATGAATGAGGGCGGCTTAGCTTCCTTCAAAGATGTTTTCGGTTAATTATTACTTTCTGATGCAGTCGATCTCCCATATATGTATATACGAGTACATAAACATATTTATGTTTTACAAATTTATACCTGTGTCAAGATTTCATCACCATGCAGATCCTTATTCTTCAGATTGCCCATTGTAAATACAGCTGAGCATTTATTGGCCGCCATTACCGCCTTAACACGAAAGACTAACGTTTCGACAGTTTCTCGGAGAGCTGGAATTTGTCCAATGATAGCGGTATTTCGTAGTGCCTAAAAGTGTGCACGAGTAAATAAAAAAATTTTTTTTTTTACCCTTTAACAAATCGAATTATAGCCTTTGAGATTTACCTTTGAATGACAACATAAAGTATGCAGAAATCGTGTGATGGTTTGTAGACTTTTCAAAAATTCACTACAACGTCCGGGTTCATTACGCAGTAGTTGGTCAACAACTCGCAAACCATGCTGCAGGATCAGTTTAATATATTCGTGTGCAGACTGTCAACACAATACAAACAAATTATTTACAAAATCAAAAATAATAAAATAAAATAAATTAAAATTTAAGGAAATAAAGTAAAAAAATTAAAACTCGAAAAAATACAGATTTCTACAAAAAAAAACAAATTCAGAGGAAAATAAATTTCCAAGAACTATTGAAAAAGTTAAAAAAATCAACCAATTTAAGTTTAAAAAAAAATAGGAGCAAACACAAAATGGTAATGTAATTCAAAGTACCTTTAAAAATATTTGATAATTTCTAGGCACCTCTAATGATTTAACAATCTCAAGCAACATATTAAAAAGTTCACAACTTTTCTCCCACATCTTCATTTGATCACCTTCATAAGCGTTACTCTTGTTCACCAATTCATGTAAATGGCTAATCGTTGTTTCACACATGATACGGAAGAGTAGTGGAAAATTCGCGCTGTAAATATTGTTAATTTATATTCATGCTTACGCTTTGTAAAACCTTTAGCACTACTCACATTTTGAAATTCGGAAAAGATTTGAGCGCATTATCTTTGCCTTTCAAATGCTTGCACTCTTCCATTACGGCTAGTAAAATATTACTCAAACGACGAAAATCAGAGTTCTTTAGGAAACCTTTTACCAGAACATCCAAATATATATTACATAAAGCGCCTTTCTCTGCTACACCTTCATAGCTGAACCATTTTCGGTGCAAGAACTTCTTACATAGAGAACCTTTGAATTGTATAAAAATTTAAAAATTTGTTTAATAAACATTTTTTTCTTTCAGTTTCAAACGCTTACGTATATCCTTTTCCTGTTTTTCCAACAATAGTTTGCGTTGCTCTAACACGCTGCTCTTCTCCGTAGAATTTTTTTGCGAAAAACGTTTTAGTATATTTAGTAAATCATGTAAATATACTGCTGTTTTCAAATCAACTATAGAGTTTTCATAACGAAGTATTACGTCAAAAGCAGCAGCTGATATATCGGAAATTGATTTTTTACACATACTTTTCCTTTTAGAATCGTCCAGCAGCACAAGTAAAGAATCTATAAAATAAAAGTGAAACTCTCAGTATATACGATTTGTATGTAGATTGAAATAAGAATTTATTTTTTAGCATGCCTTTTAATAATGCCTCAATAGAGTTATCATCATGAAATTGTGGCCAAGAGAAAAACACTGCGAATAAACGTATGCACAGATTGAAGCAGACTTTTATATAATTGAATTCGGTGGTGAAAAGATCACCATTGCTATACACGTGTTTTACACGATCCAATTGGGCGCTGATCTCCTTTGAGAGCTGTAATATATAGCGTGTGTGTTTTAGAAATTAGTTTTTTAATATGTCATGGTTTGCTTACCTCTGACATGCTCTGCAAGATCGTTTGCAGAAACTTCGATAAGTCATACATGAAATATTCTGGTTTAGCCACGTATTGTAATGGCAACTCGCTTTGAACCTTTTGTGCACCGGTAATCGATTCCAATTTGCACACCAGATCATATAAGATAAAACGAAATTCAAGTAAACCAATTCGTTTGCCAATATCTTCGGTAGGTAATTGATGTTTTATTACTAATTCTTCACGAAGTATTAACATAATATCGGAATCCATTTGCCTATTTAGAAAATAGTAAAAGATTTAATAATGAATTGAAAGAAAATATATATTTAAGTTCAATTGCTTACCTGTATATTTCACGAGGTCCATATAAAACATCAAACTTCTTTTTAAGCTCACTACTTTTCGAACGCCCAATATTTGCTAATTTTATACTAACATTTCCAGCATTTGTAGCATTGCCTGGATTCGTCACATTTCCTACATGCGTGTCGTTGAACACTATAGACTCAGAATTCAAATCTTTGTCATTATTCTCTTTCTGTTGCGCAGCTTTAGGTCTCGTAGCCGGCCTACCACGACCTAAAGGGGAAATAAGAACGAAATTAACGGCAGAAGAACTAAATGCGATTGAAACGACTTTTTTGTTTTTGGTCGATTTCGAAATATTCGAATTATCAAAATACCAACCTTTGCTTTTTTCGCCAGAAAGCTTCGTATTCGACGTTATAAATTGTGCTTGAGGTGGTAAATATCCAGCTGGAGCTTTCTCTAATAATAAACGCAACTTTTTCTCCGTCTCAATTAGCTCGCTTAAGCGCTGTAGCACCTAATTAAGAAATCATTTGAAAAATATATACAGAGTAATGGTACAGGCCGCGAAATCAATTAAGAATAAGTAAGCTAAAATGTCTAGAAATAATATAGCTTTTTCCCACACCTGTCTTATTATTAACAAATATAAATTACCTTGCAACGTATCATCTCCTCTTGTTGAGTAGTAAACGAACTGACAGTTTCACGCATCCAATTTACGCAATGGAAATATATATCCAAAATACTTTTTTGTAATTGTTCATCGTAATCATAAAATATAGCGTCGCTATTCGATTCATCAAAAAATGATGGCAACACCATGGCACATCCCAACAACGCATTTATTTGTTCCAAACTGCCTTGATAGCGCTGCAGATGCAATGAACGCACTAAATTGAATAATGGCGCCAGTATGAGTATCGAGGACGAAGAACTGCAATTAAAATTGTATGTAATAGTTACCAAACTTAATATACATACATATTTATGTATGTAACACATACACAGAGCCTGGCTTTAAAACCAACTCGGCTATGTTAATAGCAATAGTTGGCACCTCACTTTCCTCCATATTAGCCGTGTCTTCAATTGTATTTATACATTTCTGATGCGTCAAATTAATGCCACTAAAATTATTAAAAATTACACATATTAACAAATAAACAAAACTAGATATACATTCATTCACAAACTCACAGTACAGTACTGGGCGCATGTTCAGCTACAAAGCTATTTTGAAAATAGTAAGTCATAACGTCACATAACCAAATCAAATACGGTTTGTCGAGTTGTGTACAGGTATCGCGTTCACTGGGCGTACACATGCAGCTACTCGCCAATTCATCATAAAATAAGGCTAAGGATTCCGGACAATGTAGAGCCGCCGATTCAACAAGCACTGAATTTATTTTTTGAAAAATTAGTAAATTTTTTTTTTTATCAAACTATTGTACATACTTATGAAATTAGCTGCCATTTTGCCACGTCCATCGGGCAATGAGCTAGCATTTGAGTAGGAAGTATCAAAGTCGTCGTGTTCTATTATAGTATCCTCAATGCGAGCCATACAATCGATTAGTTGTACACTGCCAATAATACCCTGCTTTTTTATACTTGCAAAGAAATAATAGGATGAAATTGTTCAGATGTAAATAAATGAAAATAACTTGTATATACTTACTGTTTAGAATGATTAATTATTTGCTTTTTTATGAGCATATCTAACTGATCTTGCAACACGGTACACTCCGAAAGCGGGGGTGGTGGGAAGGCTATGGAACAAAGTACCTCCATGGCTAAGCGAGTCTGCGAAAGCGTCATTTCATTTAAACTATCCAACAAAGGCTGGAAAAAATTCAAACAAAAATATTTTTGCAAGCCATTTTGTAAATTTAAATGATATTGATGTAATTTGTCATTTTTGGAATATCTAAAACTGCTGAAAAGGTAATCTAGCTACTCCAAAATATATCTATTTTTTTCAAAACTCAAACATTTTATATTACAAGGTTTTCAGGTTTATCTACCATTAGTAATGTGCCCCAATTTTGTATTTCTGCACGATATTTCCGCTGTAAATCTCTGAGTAATTCCAAAGCGATGTTTGTTAAATTTTGAGTGGACCTGTCACATGTTAGATGTAATAGTTTTTTTAATATACTACGTTGAATGGATTCACACATTTTAAATAAAACTCTGTAAGGAAATGTAACAATAACGTTAGTCAAGTTTTAAATAACAATATCAGAGAAGAAATTACCCAAATGATGCTTTGGCGAAGTCAGCAACTGTTTTATTTTTTTCTCTTAGAAAATCATATATTAACTGCATAAGGATATGCGTATGTTGTTCTAATACGGCGGCATAGTTCGAGTTCATTTCAACAAATATATCAACTGATATCTGTTCCATTTTTATACGGCGACGTAGCTAATAAATAAATATATTCCGTTTTATATGTGGCTTTACATATATACATAAGTAATTTTACTCACAATATTTTGAATATACATATAATTATCTCCTTTGATGTGTAGTAGTTTCAGAAGAATAATGAAATCCAAGGATCTGAAAAAAATAACATTCGAGTGGTAATTTCTTCAGTTAATATTTCTATTATTTTTAATATAACTTTTTGTTGTTATACAAACCTAAATGTACCCGGCAGTGAAGATAAAGATTTTTGCCAAAACTTATAATACTTTTTTGAGCGTATCAAGCCCTGTTCAATGACATTAAAAAGATCTGTCTGCGTTGAACTTTCCATAGGCGTATTCAATCGTCCAACTAGGATTTGACGTGTTGTCGTAACCAGCTGCAAGAGTATAATGTATTTATTGTTAAATACATATGAATGTATATATGACCACCATATTTACCTCATTGACAGATTCATCACTGCTTTCTATTAAATACTTTAGAAGAAATTTCACCAATAACGGTAAGCTCTAACAAATCAACAAATCGACAAATATTAATCAACCAATTTACTTTGCTTAAATAGTATTATTTACCGTATTATTAAATCCATCATCTTTTATATAATCCAATACACGTTGGCGTAGCTCTCTTTGCATGTCTTGGCCAAGATTTAGATTTGTCAAGGCTTGAATTGTGGTAGTACTTAGCAAATCCCTGCTTGAAGGCAAATTTTCTCTGCGAAAATTAGAGAAATATATGCATGAAATAGCACAATTCCCAGACCTTTGAAGTTTACTCACGTCAGTAATTTTACAAAATCGTCATGTTTATTAAAATGTAAGACGAATTCGCTGCTTAAAATAATATCTTGCCTAGCTGGCTCACTAGCTGCCTTAAATATGCTCGATATGTGCTCAAATATTTTTGTGCTGTGCGTTTGAGATACGTAACGCAACTGAGCCAGTAGCAGGGGGAGTAAAGGAACCGTTCCATTAGCAAGAAATATAGGCTGTCTAATAATATTGATAAGCACAAAAATATGTTAATATTAAAAAATTTATATAACTATCTGAGCGGTAGAAGGTATTATTTACCGCTGCTTCGCTGCTTCAGATATTTTCTGCAATAGGATATCCACGACTGACTCACACAAAAAGTCGATCATTAAGAAGTTGGCTATCATACTATCATGCGATTGATACACTGCATCGTTGCCTGGTACACTTATCGTACACCCCGTTAACAATTTTAAACTATATTTACATTTAGGCGAGAGAGAATCGCTGAAGCCGGTTTTAAACATCTCCACATTTTCCACAGAATTTCCACATTTAACAAACACTTCACGGAATTTGCTAACAAACGATATATGGTCACAAGCTGGGGAGAAATATTAAAGATATAATCAAGACAATCCATATATTTACCGTTAGTCAAAAAATGATAATAATTTCTACATACATAAGACAAAATTGTCGGCCTCGTCTAAAAGAACACCAGACTTTATAAGAAGCAATTCGAAGTAACTCCTTGGTGGGCGCACACTCGTGTTACGCGACTGTGTACGTCCTAATGTGGCAGCTATCGTACTACGCTGTGATAAGTAGCGTTGAGTAGCTTCTTGAGATGCTGGTATATTCTCTTCACTGTTACGGCCCTCTTCCACCAACATGCATACATCAGCAGCAACGACTGTTTTTGAGGATTGTGTTTTCCTTTGACTCATACCCAAGCTCAAGGAAGTACGCTATGGTATTAAATGTTTTTGTATTTAATTAATAAGCACAAAATCACACATTTCACTTACCGGAAATTTAACCGATGCGTCCTCATCTATTGATAGTAAAGGTCTTTTGTTTTCATTGGACGTAGGCGGTTTCGCATCTTTGGCGCTTTTCGCGTTCTTATTAAATTTACGATTTTTATACATATTACAATTATTTTTAAGAATATATCGTATATAAACAAAAATTACAGTACACAAATAAACAAAATTAAGAAATGTTGTGCGATAAGCCCGCGAGAATTAAATTGGATTTCGCAAATTTTGCAAGGTTGCATTATACATATATATATAAACAGGCGTTCACACTTACGAGTTTAAATGGAGATTTTCTTCTACATTACGGTAGGTTATTTATCATTCACGTCAAAGAACTGACAAGGGGCAGAAAATGGTTGGACAGAAGTATGCCCGACGATTTGACTCTGAATGATCTGTCTTATCAATAAAAGGGGAGACCCCGTAATCTCCGCCAATATGAGAAATTGAAGGCCACCGTCAACAAACAGATTGCCTTATCAATGTGACTGCAGACCTGACAAATCTACTATATACCAAATATTCATTTTTGACCAAATCTTAAAAGAAGACACCGTCACAAAATTATCGGCACAAACAACTTCTTTGTCGATTTTAAAGCAGTCTTGGAACCAGCCAGTCTTGTCAACAGTTGCGACTTTGGACTGAGTAAAGACCAAACTCTACAAGATGCTCGGAGGATTGGACGATGACAATATCTGAAGAGTCCACTTTAGAAGTTTTCGAGAGAAAGGTTTGGCGTGAGATTTTCGGTCCTTTGCGCATTGGCGAATACCGCAGCCGCTGATGAGCAGTGCGTCATATATAGCGACATTAAAATAGTTCAGAAAATCAAGTGAAAACGACGACGATGGCTAGGTCATATGGTCTGGATTGATAAGAATACTTCCGCTTTAAAAGTTTACCACCAGTGGTAGCATTGGACCTCCCTCGCCGTTGGAAAGACCAGGTAGAGAAGGACCTCACTGTGCTTGGTATTTCCAATTGGCGCCAAACAAAGAAAAAATCATTCTAATTTTATTCCCTTGATTTCTATCAAAAAAATTATTTGTCTTGAAGGCGTTACCTCTTAATCTGAGTTTTGCGAGCACTAGACATAAAATAGAGTCCTTCAAATTTTTCATCCAATATCAAAAGAACAAATTTGAGGTTATGTACTTATAAACTTCAATTTTTTATTTATTTAATCGTTTAATTGTTGTCACTACGCCTACAATACTTAAACTATTATTGCTTTATCATCTTAAAGATGTCTTTTTTAAGTAAATGCAGCATAAACGATTTTCGAATAAAAGAACAATTATACAAATATATTTTGTTTTTGTGTTAAAATATTGACTGCTGATAATAATTGTTTATGAATATATGTTTGTAATTGAATTGGTTATTAAATATATTTTTAACGGTATACTCTTTCATATGTATGGTGATGTAAAAATGTAATTTTAGTGCTTAAATTGACGATGTGCTCATTATAAGATTCGGGGATAAATATACATTTACATATATAAGTATATGCATATATGTATTTCATTAGTGCAGTGAAAAAGTTCTTTTTTTGTAATAAGTGCTTATTTCATATACAATACATATTTGTAACGTATATATGTATAAAAGTATTGTTTTTGGCTTTAAGTGAACCATTTAAACATTACTCGCTGATGCTTTTAATAATTATAAAATTTTTTTGTATTTCTGTGCTGGGATATTCTTTAGGAGCTTAGACACTTGCTATTCTCGCCGCGTTTTCAAGGTCCTTTTTTTTTAAATGTTGGTTATTTAATGTTGATACTTATGCTAATACTGTTACGTGCTCAGATATATCCGTATTTGACAAAACAAAATTACACTTTATGGAAAATTAAATTATAACGTTTCTAATTGATTTGCATGTGAATCGTTTTGGAGAAAATATCACCGTTAAATATGTTTCTGTTTAAGTTTCTCAAAAATTTTATATTTGTTTTTTCGTGCGTCGACGCTTGAAACCGGTCATTTGCTTGAGTAATTGCGAATTCTCATCATCCAGATCCATGCTCGGTTCCCACAAGCGTAAGCGTCTCGGTATATAAATGAGTCCAATTAAAGTTATTGCTAAAAAGGGAGATATTTTAATTTTAAGAAAACAAGTTATTACCACTTAAAAAAAACAAATTAAGTTAAACAAACTTAATAATTATCAAAGCTGAAATTTTTGAAAAATTCCACTGCCTTATATTTCGGCCTCGATAGCCGAGTGATGAACATTTCGTACCGCCACTCGGTATATTCATACACGCCTTTGGTTGGTTGGCTCGTGGAAAGAGTGAGGTTGAAGACGGTCGCACACAAGCGGTTGAGCCGGCTCATTCGGCACCCAACCACGCGTCGACACCATCGTGAGGTTAAAGCTGCACGCAGCGCGAAAGTTGTGATGGCTAAAGGCCGGACAATCGCAAAGGTAGCGTTTCACAATTCTCTGTGTATGCTTCTCATACAGCCGATTCGACTATATTTAGCTCATGGAGATGATATTTAAGGTGTAGATGCCCGGTTAGTTCACCAATAAACATGCTTTGTTCTCGGAAGATGAGGTAAGTGACATTTTGATGTCCTTGGAATAATGCCAAGACCTTAATAGGTCCACAGCGTTAAACAACGTTTGAAGGCGCTGAAGAGTCCGAGGCAGTCGATTGTGATAGCCCCACCCGCATTTTCATTGTCAATCAAATTCGATTCGAACTAAACTAGCTGCCTTTTTGACGTCTTTAGAAATAGATGGTTGGAGTCATTTATTTTGAAGCTTGGTTATTGACATTATCACAAAGAACACTGGTTATATTTAGACCCAGAAACGCATTATTGCACTCTTACCGATAGGCCCACCTTCAATCTATTCTTCCCTAATCCACGGGGAAGGTTTTCGTTTTTCGATTGCAGTTTACGTTGCTCTATATATGGGGTCCTAGGCCAAACTAAGGATACTCCTAAATTTATTTGTCCCATTTTCTTTGCTGGAAAATGAGTATCATAAATGTGGATCGGGTGTCCAAAATTGAAATTGAAATGCTATTAATTCTAATGACAGGATACCTAGCGTCCAAGTTTACAGCTTCATTTGGAAAGATCCTCGGCAACCAAGTACCTTCAACGCTTTTCTCTGAATCTTACCATAAATGTGTATATTTATTTTCGGATATAAACAGGTATTTTGGGTATTAAATCGTATTTTCAATCCTTTTCACACGCAGGGCAGATAAGACAGAGAACGGAGCCGTCTCATATCTCTCACTAACAGCTCTTTACAGCTCAGCACAAAGTAGCATCCGCTAGCAGAAGTTATTCTGCGTATTTTGAAATACCGAAGCAATGTGTCGGCGGGAGCAACAGCCGGTTAGTCCTAACAGCCGGATGGTCCAGACATTCGGAAATCGCTTTGTAGCCGCTGAAGTGATTTGGGACTAGCTCCTCCTCAGATTTACGGCGTGCGTTTTTATGTTTTACATACTAAATGAAAGAATTTAAGGGACCGAACGGCTGATGGATTTTTATGAGGAGCCTTTATTTCATGCCAGAAAAACACTCGTTGGTCATCCCAGGACTCGGACCCTGGCCTTCGAAATGGCTGAACGAAGAGCTAACCACTTGGCTAACGCGGCCGCCGATTTAAAATTTTTGTTTAAATAAATAACTTATTGTTTTGATATAAAAATAATAAATTTGTATATGTATGTATGTAATGTTTTGCTATGAGCTATACAACAATACTTACAATTAAGAACGCAGGGGAAGATCACATAAAAGTTCAATGTACTCGAACGAAAGTACAAAGCCTCGGAAGCATAAAGAACCATTGTCAAAGCTAATGAACAGCCACCCATACTGACAACTCTGCAAAAATTTATATTTTAATATTTACACCAATGTTCGTAGGTGTGTAAAGAAAATACAGAAGCCATATAAAATATTATAGAAAAAATATATCAGCTGAGCTGACACAAATTATTTTGGACAACACTAGGACTTCCAATTATAATAGTCTTTTCGAAATATCGTGTACTGAGCCAAATAAAAAAATAAAAACAATTAATAATATTGACCATTCTTCATGCAGTACTTACGGTCGGTAATGTATGTAGAGCGTGCAATGAACTAATGCAATCGCTTTGAGCAAACAATACATGCCAATTATACGTGAAATGGTGTAATCGCCTGAAAGTATGCAACATTGTTGAAAATTACATTTAAAAAAAAACATTTGCACATCGGTGTATTTCGTGATTTTGCCAATTTTATACTCACCTTCAATAAACTGAGTCTCCGTATGATCACCAAGGAAGCTCCTACGTTCGATATAACTGCGAAATGCAGTTCCTAAATCCATAAAAGCTACAAACGCTATCCAGCCCCGAAAGGCGTATAGCAGTTTGCGCTCCATTTTCGTTTGGTACGGCGTTTTGGCGGCTTTTGTTTTTCCCTCTCAGCACAGTAAAAAAAAATTAAGTCCTGATTAATTGAGGATTGGGGATTTGTTCGCGTTTATTTGTTGCTAAAAAAGTATGAATGAGAGTTAAATCTGAGAGCTTTTCATTTAGAGCTTTTTTATTTATTAAATTTAGCGTTTTTATTTCTAATTGGCCATAACAGTTACATAGTGAGTTCTAGTTTATTGAGAGGTCTGGTAGTAAACGAGGGCAAGACGAAATATCTCCTTTCACCAAACAAACTGCCATCGCATGCACAACTTCGCTCTCATGTCACTGTTGACAGTCACACCTCTGAAGTCGCAGATAACTTCATCTATCGTGGAACCAGAATTAACACCAACTACAAGGGTAGCCTTAAATTCCTACGAAGAATCACTCTAGCCAACAGTTATATCATTGGACTGAGTATTCCGTTACCTACACAGTCCTCTCTCCACGTACAAAGACCAAACTCTACATGATGTTCTTCATTCGCGTTGTGCTATACGATGCGGAGGCAGGGATGATACAACATCTGATTAATCGACGCTAGGAGTTTTCAAGAGAAAGATTTTGCATCAAATGTATGGTCATTATTTGACGAATCAAGGGAATGGTTGGATAAGAATGCTCCAACTTTGAAGGTTTTCGATGCATTACCCAGTTATAGAAGCAGAGGAGGAGGAAGAACGCTACTCCGTTGGCAAGACCAGGTAAAGAAATATCTGACTGTACTTGATATTCTCTATATGCGTTCTAAGCCAATCAAAGAACTGTAATTAGGAATATCTCTACTTGAGGAAGCACACACCTTCTTGGGTATTTCCATTAAGGATAAAGGGATATTTCTTCGTTTGCTCTAATATGCCGGAAAATTATCAAGAATAATGTATTTCACCAGCCGGCCAATTTCCAATAGGGAGAAGTCAATGAACGGAGAAGATTTTGGAGCTTAGGCTATGATACCTATCTATGTATGTACGTATATATTATATTTCACGCAGGTGTCATGTACAGTAGGTTTGTAAGAATGCTGTGAATGCTTTTTGCAATTTCATCTCAGCACTAACAAGTTAGGAAGTCAGCCGGTTCTACGTACCGGAGTTGACACGGATTTTATCCGGCCAAGGGTTGTCCTAACCCCGTTTAGGTCAAGGAAGAGCAATTTTTATTTCAAACCAAACTGTTTATTATGTATTTTATCTGTGTATGCTGCGACAAGAATGACTAATTAAATTATTCTCTTGTATAAAACACATCCGCAGGTATTAAAATGTCCTGCTTATTTTCATAATTGTTAACCACTCAGTTATGTGCATACACGTATAAGAGCCACCAATTACCTTGTGCAGCTATAATTAACGGTTAAATGGACAATGCTAATTTACCCCTTACCAAAATGCACACTCAAAATCAATTCGAAAGCATACCCAGTGAGCACACTAAATACCATTGAGTTCTTCCTTTCAGTTGATTGAGCCGGTGGCAATTAACGATACGAGTATTCCCGCAGGGTATTTATCCTACACACACATGCACAAACACACCCGCTGCCCTACTCGCATAATACAAGCTGTAGGTGTATTAAACAAGTAAGTAAAATCAATAAAATAAAAGGATATTTATGGTACAGGTGCGTAACCGTTAATAATAATCGCTTAACATATCCGTCTTTATGCTACACCCCCGACAAAGAAAAATCCATAAAATAGCACAAGTGATATTGGCAATGTGCGGGTATTTTGCAAAGATTCCAAACCAATTTGGATTTACATACAAAGACATACCGTACTTTGGAGCTCATATTTGACTTTTATTTTGATATTTATAAATATTTTTTAATGCATTATATAAAAGCAACACATACGCTCTACACAGCTCTTTTTACCTTCGATAAAATTTGTTGTTTTTCCTTTTTGGCACTTTTTCCTTTTCAATCTAAACTGAAAATCATGCTTCAAGTGCAGTTGGCGAATATTGTGTGCATTCCAAATACCTTTTTTTTGTGTTTTTGTATTTAATATTTTCCTTCAGATTTATGTTAATTTTAGATGTGTTTCTTAGGTGTTGGCATTTGTGTTTCCCAGGCTAACCGCTTGAACGGTTTGTTAGTTTCATATTTTTTTCTTTTTTTTTTCTTTTACTTTTTAACGATTTGGCCGTGTATGTGCCAGCGTTTTTCCGACTTTTCTACACTCCGCAAATCTGTTTATATACGTCGAAGAGAAAATTCTGACTGTCTGCCTGCATTCTCCGCAAATGCCAATGTACCTTGCTTAATATTGAATAGCTTCTTGACGATTTTCATGATGCCGGCACATGTGATGGACCTGCGCATTGGTTTGTTTATTTTTTATGAAGATAAAATTTCTCCGAGAGTTTCCACAGCACACGGTACAACCGTTAGCTTTGATCACAAAATATATATTCCCCCTGCGGGTTAGGGGCTCAAGAATTTACCCGCGGTAAGGCATGCCTGTCGTAAGAGGCGACTAAAATCCAATAGTTCTCGCGACAGTCGGGTCTTTATACCGGAACGACCCGGATTTTTATCCGGCCAAGGACTGTCACTCCCGCAGCATTCCCCAAAAAGTACTTTGGGGAATAATTTTGCGGTTACAACAACAACAACAACAACATCACAAAATATATATTCAAAAAAAATTTTTCAGATATCAGCACACATTTCTCTCTAGTAAACTATTAATGAAAAACTCCGATACATTAAAAAAATCGTTTATTAAAAAAAATCAACAAATCTTTACATATAAAATTTTTAAATACTCGCAATTTTAATGTTTAAGGTTTTTTTTGATCATCTGCATCCTCGCTTTTACGGTATTCCGCATAATCTACATAACCATCATTATTAAAGTCCATAGTTTTCAGCACATGATCTATTATGTCAGTTAACGTTTCATCGGAATATGACTTTTTTTCCTCTTCAGGCTCATGATGGTCTTCTTCCTTTTTGTGATTCGGACCTTGAACTATAATGCGATTGAATGAAAGTTTAATGTTGAATTTATGTATATATGCAAATATAGTAGTGAAATGGCGAGAGGCAATATGTTGATAATGGCAATTCTTTTACCAAATTAAGCTCACCACTAACCAAGCCCAGCAATTGTTGGAGCATATAAAAAAATACCTTTATGTTGTGCAATCTACTACATATTAAATCTGTGTAGACATAAACAATGACTTTTGAAAATAATAACGTTGATTGGGATACTCATTATTTAGATCTTAAAAGGCAAACCCCTAATGAATGCTAAAAGGTTCGTTAAAAAAAACATTACAAATTTTGTAGAGAAAGTATTGCCTGTCGAGTACAGATATATTTGTGTATTGTTTACAAAATCCTTTATTGATTCTCTTTCGAAATTGTATCACTATCAGTCCTTATTCTGTTTTATAATTTCATTTAACATTAAAGCGCATTTGTTGTTTTTATAGACTTTATTTTTCGTCGTTCATTTTGTTCGCCGAATGCTTATTTATCTGCTGTAGAAAATCTAACTTTGTTCGCATTACAAGTTACTTTTATGAGCACAGCTTTGTACATACCACATGCATATATAGCAATTTTTACAGTATTTAAATAATTTTGGTATTAAGAAGTGTAGAGATTTATTTTCGAGTATGAAGTTGAAAAAAATTCGTTAAACATAGTTTTTGTTGGCATGCCAAATTTTTTTTTATGTAATTAAGTAAATAGTAAAGTTGCCTTTTACTTGGAATGATCCTACTCAAATTATAAGGTTTTAGATAAAACTTAAAAACCGAAAACGAAAAAAAAAAAACATTTGTAAAGAATTGAAAATCACATTTTTTATACAAAAATATTCTGTCATGGAAACCTAAGAGTTCTTAAGTAGAGGAAATAACCTGACAACAAATAATATTAAACTTTTTTCATGTTCATTTTCCTCTATTTTCCACTTTGAGGCTGCTGTTGTTGTTGCTGTTGGTGCTTCTGTTGAGAAGCTGCAGCTTTTTGTTGCGCCTTTATAAATTCAGGATAATCAATATAACCATCACGTGACGTGTCATCCATTTGAAGGATGGGATCAATTAGTGCTACCAATTCTTCGTCAGAGAAAATCTTTTCCTCAACATGTGGCGCCTGCTCATTGTGCGGTTGTTCCTTGCTTCCTTGCTCTATTATTTTTGAAATTGTTCAAATCATGGCAACGTATTCATATCCGTACATAATAATATTGTTATGTGATTTATGCAATGAAATGAATGCAATAAATTTTCCAAAAACCAAACCATCCAATATAGATTATGGTTGTTAATGATAAAGGACGAGAATGTATAATTTGATGAATGGTTTTGTTGATAACAAATTCACGGATTCACATGTAAAAAAAAGAAGAAGTAAAATATATGATTAACAATTAACCAAGTTTTACACAAACATATATACATATGATATATATATGTATATGTATTGCTGTATTTGTTTAATTTTTTGTCAGAGAACTAATATTTGTTTTATAACATAACCCAAAAAAAGAAGTTTTCTGTTAAAATTTAGTCTTAAAAGGAATAAATTAGAAAATCACGAAAAATATTCGAATTTAAATAAAACCCGAAAAATATTTCTAGAGTTTGACAAGATGCTTTAAAAGTGCCCATAAACTCATACGTTTATATATATATATATAGCTCCAAAGTAAACGTTATTTTCAAGTCGCTTATGGAAATACTTAGTTAGATCTCTTGGTTTTGAGGTAAAAGTGCGACAAGTACATTAAAGAAAGAAAAGTAGCTAAATCAACAAAGCGAAGAAGAATGACTTGGTACAACACACAATATATGAATGTGATATTATTTAAATAAGATACAAAATAATTTAAAACGAAACGTAAACTGTATGTTTATAAATTATATTCTACCAACACCTCACCAATAAATTCACAAACGTATTTAAATCGAGAATGAAATGCAAGAGATTAAGACAACATACCGTGCCAATGAATAAGTGATTTTATGAGTTCGCAACCATCCAATTTGTTGTTGTTATCGGAATCATGCATTTTGAAGTAGTGAAATTGAAGTTCTGCTTCAGACATTTTGCTCGTATCGATGGGAACCTGCATGTGTTCCTGAATGTGACTATAATAAAAAGAAAAGAAATGAGTAAACATATTTAGATAACATATGTGTGTATCTATGTTATTATGCAAATATTGAAAAATAATTTTTATATAAAAATTATTTATACTGAGAGTTTAATTACCGACAAGTAAATATTGAGTAATAATGCCGAAACATTAAATGTTGGAAACAAATAAATAAATATTTATATATAAATATAATATTTAATATTGACTTACGCTCTCTCTTCTTGTATGTTGGCCGCATTCAAAACTTGTTGTTGACCATGATGAGCCTGATGTGGAGAATGTGCCTGTTGTTGTTGTTGCACTGGTTGTGGAGGCTGCTGCTGCTGCTGATGGATTTGTGGCTGTTGTTGTTGTTGATACTGTGGAGTTTGTTGTTGTTGGTATTGTTGTTGTTGCTGCTGCTGCAACGGCACCTGCTGATATTGCACTTGCTGTTGCTATAATTATTTCATTGTTATAAACAAAATGACACAAGCACCACATAAAAACACATTTTAACTACTAACATATTGTTGTGGCGGAACATTGGGCGCATGGTGTATTTGCTGTTGTTGTTGCTGCTGGTATTGTGGTTGTTGGTTGTGCTGGACAGGAACTTGTTGCTGTATATTTTACCCAAATTTTATTACGTTTTATTTAAGATTTAAACTACTTCTTCAGCTACATAACGATACTTACATAGTGTTGTGGTGGAACACCCGGAGCAACTCGTTGAGCGGACGTAAACCCAAAAAGCATGAGCGATAACAGCACCAGTGAAAAAGCTGGTAACTGTTTTTGATGGAAAGACATTGTTTGAAGACGCATTATAACAAACCTACGTCCAGTAGGCCGAAGAGCAGGGCAGTGTATTGAGCCTATTCTTTATGTGGGCTTTTACAAAAGTATCCTATTATGTCAATTGCAAACCCCTAGTGACTGGGAAAGAATTGAGCAACCACGTCAAATAAGAAAACCAGAGAAATCCACACGTATACACGTATACAAACTTTGAATTGTCAAAACACTAGAGGTGCTAACCTTTCGATAGTTTTCGAAGCAAAACTTCAAAAACACGAATATGCATTCCGATATTATCGACCTTTTATTAGACACGAAAAAATATGCACATGCCAGCAAAATCTGTTCTATATTTATTTCCAAATGAATAACTTTATGTGTTTCGAAAACAGACTTGAATATTTACAAGCAACCTGTTAAATCATTAAAGTAAAAAAAAAATTCACGAACGATGAAACCATCCATCGCTTTCACAGTTAATCGAATACACTGAACAAGCCTATTTCTGGCATATTTGGTGAAACGTCATAGGATTGACAAAGTTTTGTCTTTGTTTTTCTGTTCAATTATTTTCATTCCGTATTTTATATTTACTAATAAATCAAAAGCGTTTTTTAAATTCCTTCGCTAGTTCTAAACAATATTTGTTTTTATAAGGTTTACTGTTTTTTTTTCGCAAAGACTTTAATAAATAAACACCTAAAATGGTAAGCAAAAGAGAAAGTTGTATTCTATAATGTAAAAGTAAAAATCATTTTCTTGTTCAATAAAAATATGCAACAATAAATGTTACAATTTATTTGCAGGCACGTTACTTCAAGGAACAGGACATTGATGGTATGAATTGTTTTTTATTTCAATATTTCGCGACATATTTGTTAAAGCCCCCATTTATGGAAGTAGAAACGATTTCTAATTTTCTGTTTCCAACAAAAAAGATAAGTAAAAAATTTTATCTTATCTCTTACAGAATTTCGTGAATGTTTTTATTTATTTGCCCGTTCGGGGCAGATCACTTCCCTGGATGAGTTAACTGTAATTATGCGATCTCTTGGGTTATCGCCAACAATCCAAGAGCTGATCGCTTATTTGAAAAAGAAAGGAGGTAAAATGAGTTTTGCGGATTTTTTGGAAATTATGCATCTACACTCCAAGGTTGAAAAAATTCCCGAAGAAGTAATCGCTGCGTTCAAGGCAGCCGATCCACATAACACAGGCACTATATCTGCAAGACAGCTACGAAATTTATTACAGAACTGGGGAGAGGGTTTATCCGTGCGTGAGGTAGTTGAAATTTCTTTGTATTTTGTATGGCACTTTTAGCAGTTATTTTATTCTTACAGGTTGATAGCATCTTTCGTGAAGCAAACGTCAATAGCAACAGCATGGTACGTTATGCCGATTTCATAAAAATAGCTTGCGCTCCAGTTCCAGACTACTATTAAAACTTTACTCCTAATCCTAGTGACAATTTGCTTGAAAAGTATTCCTTAAAATGTATACCATACAAATATCTACTAAATAAATTTATATTTTTTAAATAATTGAAACGTTTATATACTGTTTGAAGTAAATAGTATTTATTGTATAAAAAAATTATACACGTTCCTTATTAGTTGGCAATGGTGACCTCGACTTCTACTCCAGCCTCAATGTTGATTGAGGTGATTTTCTTCACGATCTCAGAAGGTGAATGCAAATCAATGATACGCTTGTGGATTCTCATCTGAAAAATTAAATAGAAAGGAATTTTAGTAAGATGCGTATATTTGACGTACAAAAATTGTACATATTTACGATATATTTGTAAAACTCAGAGAGCCATCAAGAACTGATTCTATTCGAAATGGACTATGTGAGTGCGTTTAATATAGGCAAACATACAGATACTGAATTGAGTTTAAGTGTAACTTAACTCTATATCAAATTTGCCAGATTATTAAAATATACTTTATCGTTACCTGGAATCGATCCCAAGTTTTGGAACCTTCACCACAAGGTGTCTTACGGGTTGTAATACGTAGAGTCTTGGTTGGCATGCGTACTGGACCCTGGAAAACAAATAAATATTTTTTATTAGGATATTTTTACACAGCGAAGCACGTGTGCCCTGAACATAAAAATCTTGCTCTGTTTAATTTTGCAAAGAAGATAATGTCCAATTCAGGCCTAATATTTTATAGCACTATATAACAGACTAGATTGAGCTCTGTGTTAAAAGCAAAACCTCCAGGAAAGTGCAACAATAATGATCTCTTCAGACAAAACCAAACTTACCTTTACGCGCAAATTCTGATTCTTGGCACTGTTGATCAGATCACGGCAAACATTCTCCAAAGAACGTACATTCCGGGAAGTCAAAGTGATGCGAATGCGGTGAACTGATGCAGAATCAGCGCCTTGGGGCTTTTCGATATCCTTGGGTGCAGCAGCCTATAACAAAACAGTACAAGTTGAGGTTATGTCTATATAAAACACGTGTCAAACTAAACTTATTTATTACACATCAATTTATAACATTAGTTAAAAGACACTGCTTTTACAAAGTAAACCTATGGGAAATACTTCAAACAATTACCATTTTTATTATAATTTCTGGTCGAGGTATTCAAATCCTGGACTATTGAACAGCGCTGAACCAGAGCTGAGAACGAAGTGAAAGAGAAATTCGTCGTAATGTCTGTGAACGAGTCACGGCGAATTCGACCGGTTGCAACGATAAATCCAACAATCGATATGCTGAAATAGTCGCCACAACATTTATATTCAAAATTAAACGACCCATCACGGATGTTTTCTTCTGCTTTAAGGAATTAAAAACACAATACTTTCTTCCCGGGTAAGAATGTTATCTTATAGGATATTTCAAAACAATATAAGTATATTTCTTTCAAAAAAGTCGATGAAATATCGTTAGAGCGATTAATATTAAGCTTAGTATTTACAATTCGTCCACACTATGGCATGCGATTCATGTTATGAGATACTTTGTAATTGAAAATCTCTAGAAGAAAAGGGTAACGTTCATTCACATCAACGAGAGGGGAGAGGTTGCTTCAAATGCTGCACTAAAGGCACGTAGCCGGGTAGAGGACTCTGTATTTTTCACAATTATTTCGAAGCCTTTTTAAAGGAAAACACCATTGTAGACATTACTAAAAAAACAAATATCAATCTCAAACAAGATCACTACTTTCGAAAATTCCACAGCCGCTAGACAATCGTTAAATATATTTTGCTCATTACATGAATAATTAACAGACATTAAAGATATTTCGGACTCAAATATCCATTTTTGAAACGTGATACTTCCCGCGGGTTAGGGGTTCAAGATTTATCTATAATTGCGAAAAATCCTAAAGTTTACACGATCGATCGCAGAATTCCATAAAACCAAGTTGGGGAGTGTTTTGCGAATACAATAATGATTGTAATGAAACTCCACTTTCTTCTGCTAACAAGTAATTATGTTGATATATCAGACCTTCCCACAACATCATCAATTCAGAAAACTATATGTTTTGTAGTGTATTTGTATGTGTTTATATTTTTACAAACAATAATACAATTAAAATATTATAGTACAGCATTTGATTTCGCATCCTTAAGGCTTTTGTTATAATAAATTATAAAAAAGCATAATCCTTAATTAATTTCAACTACATTAGATATTTTTAACATTACACTGTGTAGTTCGCTCTATTGCCTCTGCTTTACTTGAGTTCGACTTTTTGTGTTAGTATACAATAAAATTTCTAAATATGCATTATGTATGAAGTGTAAAACTCAAAACAAAAAATGTATATTTTTTAAAATAATTCTTAAAAATCATTAAAGTACAATCGAAGTTTCTGTGCAGTTGATTGATCCAATCACGCAAAAACACGTTGGAGCTAAAATTAATGGATGTTGATAATAGACTCACGTCCCTTGCCAACACCAACCCATTGTACCGGTACACTTAGCTCATTCTCTAGGAATCGAACATACTTTTGTGCATTTTCGGGCAATTCCTTGAAGTTGCGAATATTTTCGGTGCTCTCTTGCCACCCAGGCAGGGTGGCGTACTCAACTTCGATCTCGCCTAATTCGGCAATTGTGCCAGGGAAGTGATCCAACTTTTCCCCATTAGCGCGTTTATAACTATAAAAGAATGATGTTATATAATTGGAACATTTGGTTTAAATACGTGTATGAACTTACGCAACAGCCACCTTGATTTCTGCCAAAGTATCAAGTATATCAAGCTTTGTCAAACAAATGCTTGTGTAACCGTTAACAAGTGAGGTATATTTGAGTAGCGGAATATCAAGCCAGCCACAACGACGTTTTCGTTTTGTTGTTACACCAATCTCAGCACCTTTTGTTTGGAGCAGCTCACCAACTTCCTAAGAAATAAAAAAAGGAAATTAACTAATAATATTCAATATAAAAAACAAAATTTATCTATGCTTACATTAATTTGCTCGGTGGGGAATGGACCATCACCGACACGTGTGGTATAGGCCTTAACAACGCCAATCACTTCACCAATAGTTTGTGGTGGTAGACCCAAGCCAGTAAGTACGCCGCCTATACTGCAATTGCTGCTGGTCACATATGGATATGTGCCAAAATCAATGTCCAACATAGCGGCATTGGCACCTTCCACCAGTATCTTTTTTCCTTGTCGCAATGCGGTGTGTAAGAAGCAAATGGTGTCTTTTACATAGGGACGTACTTTCTCCGCGTACTCCTTGTATCGCGTCAACTCAGCATCAACGTCAATGTTGATCGAAGGAAATAGGCGCAAATGTGTGGCTACAATTGATTTAAATCTATAAAGAAAAACATACAATTAAATTTATATGTTACCATAAGTAATAATATGTAATAAATTAACAAAAAGTAAAACACTTACTTATCGGTGAAGAGATTAAAATCACCCAACAATTCGCCAACACGTATGCCATTGCGTGTGGCCTTGCTGGAGTAAGCCGGACCAATGCCCTTCTTGGTAGTGCCGAGTGATTTGCCACCCTTCTCAGCCTCTTGCATACCATCAACCAATTGATGGAAATCGAAAACCAAATGCGCGCGATCCGAAATAATCAAACGATGTTCAAGCTTTTGCAAGCCCTTTGCCTCATTCTTGGACAGCTCATCGAAAAGTGATGGTAAGTGAATGACAACACCATTACCTGAAAACGATGGTTGTTTATTTTATAAAATTATTGCAAACAAAAAGATTTGTATAGGATTTAAAAAGAAATTCATAGCGCAATATTATCTATTATAAATGTGAATACATCACATACAGTCTAATTCATAAATTTTAACTTATGTAATAATACATATGTATGTATGTATGTATAACGGCTTACATTATTATCAATTATTATGCAACAATAAAAAAAATTTACAGTTGAATCTAAATATGTATAAAGTTGAGGGCGTTGCTCAATTCACGTTTATCTTAATTACAAATGAGTCTTGTGACATTCGCCAACTTGTGCGAAGCGAATACCAACGCAAGAATTAAATCATCGATTAAACATATTAAAAGAGAAATTCTTAATTTTATGAATAATTACTCATGCAAGCCATATTAGAAGGTAAGTGTGTGCAAACCTACTACTTGCTTTAAGCTTTTCAAATAAATTTAGTCGATTTGCGTGACAAGCGGCATTTTATTTCGCAAATTTGATACGCTTGTCGAAATAAGTGCTTCAATTATGAAATTACCATAACAATGTATTTTTATATAAAAAAAAAATTTCATAAATTCGCATGTACTTATAAAATTTTAAATACATATATATGCGTACAAACGTACTTATGAAAGTCCATATTTCATATACACATCTTTCTAAGGTATATATGTTTGTATAAGTGTGGTTGAATGAGTAAACTCTTATCAGACTTCTGCATATAAACGTATGCACTTACATATGCATGTATTTATGCATGTACATATTAAGTTTTGCATTTGAGAAGATATTCAAAAGGTACTATGACAAAAATTTGACCAAAAAACCGTGATTTAGCATTGAATTGATTGAAATTGATTATACTACAAGTGTCAGTTTTATCTTCGCCATATATACATACATACATACATATGTATTTATGTGTACTATATTTGTGCACATTAAGAGACAAAATGCATTTTGGCTACGAAAAAATTTCACATTATATTCTAAAATCGAAAGTCCAACCCACATGCTGACCGTGACCGTAAACTGAGAGAATAGCAGACACAACTGACAGACACATGAATGTATATACATAAGTAAGTGTATATGTACATATATACTGCATTCATACATCCTGAGAATGGGTACTTTCATACATATACACTATTATATGTACATGCGTCTATTTATTTTTATGTTTCATTGAAATAACGTCAGCACAATGTGTGTGACTTTGAGGAACAAATGCCAATTTCTTTTTTTTTTTTTTTTTCAAGAACAAATTTTATAACACAGGAACCAAAAGAAAGTTGAGACATGTTTTCATTTTTTAAGTGTACTTTAGGTAATCTGCTAAATGTACGTGCATACATACATATGTATGTATATATTTCATATGATTTGCTCTTAGATAATTTACTTACCAATCACAGATATACACTTCTCATTGACAATGCCGCTGGGCAGAAGATGAAAATCAAATTCCCTTCCATTAGCCACAACTGTGTGTCCAGCATTATTACCGCCCTGCAAAATATGAATGGTGGAATATTTTTTTTTTAGTGTCATATGAGATATATGTACATATACGTATATATGTATGTACATATGTATACATATGAATTTCTTTGTACGTCTAAATGTTTATTGATGTACAAGTATATGTATATATGATTTAGTTAATTTATTTATCTTACGTCTTTGCTGACTTTAAGAAAAATGTGTAAATATAATATTTATATATGTACATAAATGAATAAGTATATTAAATTATTAAACAATTACATAAATATGTATAAATTTATTTATTTATTCATAAAATTAATATCATTGCGCAAATTAATGATATACATACATATGTATATCTGCAAACATACACGTATTTATCATACATTCAAAAGCTGCTCTTAGAATTAGTATGTGATTGTTTATAATTGATGAAGTTTCGTTTGAAATCCATAATTCTTGTAACTCAAAAATAATTAATTTCACAGTTCGTCTAGAAAGTGTTCCGACTTACCGCGGGGATACTAAATATAAATATATAACTTGTATATACATATGTATGTATGTAAGAACACATAATCTAAAATTTATATATTATTTGGCAAAAGTGCCAATTTTATTATGACAAGATTTTGTATAATTTGAATAGATTATGTTATTGTGTACTACAACGTACGCATTTTAAATAAGCCTACATACTTATGTAGATATGTCCTTGCGAATGTGTATATATACATATGTACCTAGAATGTAAACTCGAATTATTTCTACATATGTATGTATGTATTTGTTAAATTAGGGAATTTTTTTTTTCAATTTTTAAATCCTAATCTTAAGAAAATTTCAAGAGGCGACTAAACTCTAAAAGTTTCCACGAGAGCGGGTTCTTAAACTGTGCGACCCGGATATTTATCCGGATGAGGACTGTCAATGCCGCTACATACCCATAAACAAGCAACAACATTTTCACATTAAGTTTTTACTGTTATAGCTCCTCTGGAGACATTTTTTTTGCCAGTTTGTGAGAAATTATAGTATGTATGCATGTATTTGAAGAAGGTATGAGATATTATATTACTCTTCCTTACAAATATATGTACATACATATATGTTTTTTGCATGCATACATATGTGAGCTTTTGATAACCATACGAAACTCTAAATAGATAAGATAAATGGTGTTAATTGTTGACTTGTCTGCCCGTTTATATGCAAGTCTCTCAATAGTAGATAAATTTATTGTTATAAAGCTTCGTAACGCGTGTGACAGTTTTATAAATATGAAATGCGTATAAAAAATTGCAATTATATATATATGAATATTAGTAAGAGTAAGCGTCTGAATTGGCATTCGCACTAATTAAAAAACAGTTAACGAACGAATAGATAACTTAACAAATTACATGCACTCGCTGGGCACGATTAATTGTAAATCAAAGGCAAAAATGTTACACACATTTCCATACTTCTATGTATATGTAAGCATACATCTATCTACTTCCATAAACAAGAACACATGTATCTACTTATGCATTTGTAAAAGAGAAAATACAAATGTTAGTGTGGAAACGCTGTCCAGGCGAGAGTAGCGTTATTGCGTTAATAGTGAATCACAATCGTCGGTTATTCACCACTCAAAGGCGAAAAGAACGCAAAAACTGATGTTATGTAAACATTGAAATGCCGAAAATTCAAGTACAGAAAAATTTGCTGAAGTAATCATGCATATCTATGTATGCATTCTGTTGAATGATTAAATGAATGAACATTGGAGCAGGTACTGGCTAACCAATTAGAAAAAAGTATATATGATAACTTAAAACTGACTCCATTTTCTGCTGTACACAACATTTTGCCAGTGTTATTAACAAGTTTTAATCATTTTACGTGCCGTCAGTGAGAATATGTCATTATGTGAAATATGTATGGGTACGTAAGTGCTATTTTACGTTTTATTGCTTGTCCGCGTGATCAATATTTAGCACTTGGGACTTATCTTATTTAAAAAGCATCATATGATATTTTTCAGTTTACATTACGAATAGTAGTCATTCTATTTTGAAATTCATTCTTTTGACTTACCTGACATCTACAAACAATGTCAACTTCCAGCGCCAGCATATCAACCACTTTGCCTTTGCCTTCATCGCCCCATTGAGCTCCTAGAACAACACCAACTTTAGACTTGTACATATTGAGACGTCCCTGATGCAGTGTTTCGTAGTTACTCCCGTTCACTACACTGCTGCTGGACTCCGTCATCTTCACCCGTTTAGTTGGCGTTGGTGGCGCTATTTTGGTAGATTTTCTGCGAATGATAGGCCAGCAAAAAATTCGATCACTGTCACTAACGCGGCGCCCTAAGCACTTTTCTCGACACAAGCAAAACTTGTAAAGAAATCACTAGGAATTGGAAAGCACATTTACCACTCAAATCAGCATGTGTGATATGTCAAATGTCAGCTGTCAAATACAAGCATGCGCGGCTGAGTTTACCTCCAGTGTTGCCTGTGTTCAATGTAGTGCACTATGCAAATTAAATATATACAAGACGCAATTTAGTTTGTCTGGAAGAAATTTATATTAGGCTGGTGTTTTACTTCTTTATAGTAGATTTTATTTAATTAATCTAATTTAAAACTATAAAGCGAGCATTGAAATAATATCTTTAAGAATTTACTCTGCGTTCTCACATTTATCTGTGAATTCAATATGAGCAACAAATTTTAAAGCATTATTTATTTTATTGTCCTATTCGTCTGGGCAGCTCTTGCACTGTACTTTCCATGATTAGTCCCTGCAGATGTCGCACCTATTGATTGTGATTGTCAATTTCTGTTTATTTATTATTAAATGTGTTTATGTTTTTTGGTTGACGGAATTATTTTTAATCAATTATGTCCTCATCTTCAACTCTTTGCCAATTGTAAGTTTTAGCTTTATGCTTTTAAGAATCATATATATTATATATATAATATTCTTCCAGCTGCCGAAGGGATCAATTTAAGTATACCTGCCCGAAATGTAACGCTTTATATTGTTCTGTAGACTGCTACAAAGCGCAAGAACATTTAAATTGCTCTGAAGAATTTTATAAGTCCTGTATACAGGAGGAGCTGACTACCTCTGAACCGAGTTCACGAGATGAAATGAAAAAGATGTATGATATATTGAAAAGAATTCGTGAGACAGATGCTGGGCTAGAACCAGATTTTGCTGACCCAGTAGACTCTGATGATGATGCGGAAGACGACAATGAAGCTCGCGAAGAAAGTGTACTTGATGAGGATGATGATGAAACGCAAGATGTTGACGATATTGCTGCACGCTTACAAAATGTTGATATAAATGATGCTAATGAGGTTTGGGAACGTTTGACATCAGAGGAGCGTGCTGAGTTTAAAAAAATGGTCGAATGTGGCGATATAATGAAATTACTGCCTGGGTACAAACCATGGTGGATTGCTTCAAAAAAACCAAAAATTGTAGAAATTAAAAGCGTCAAAGATAATTTGCACGATTATACATTGGGGCCTGTTATTGAAAAAAATATATCAAAGTTCTCTATTATTTGCAAAAAGACTCCATCGCCATGTTTGCATTATAATTTATGGAACATAATGTGTTCTTATGCTTGTATGGTTCGCTATTTCAATGGCGAACATTTGACAAATCCAAACGAAGCCGTTGCACATTTGGTAAATCTGAGTTTAACTTTGAAATTCGGTACGAATTTTGAAGAAGTGGAGGACGCCTTAGTATCTGTGGAAATGGAAGCATTAACAACAAAAATAGTTGGAGTCGAAGAATCAGTAAATAGGGAAATGACCTCTTCGATGGCAAGTCGAGAACAACTACAATCAGATGCGCGCTCGCTAATGGCTTCATGTCACAATAAATTGACCGCGCTAAGTGATATATATCGATTAATGGCAATGGCTAGAAATAATTTAAAACAAAGTAAAACAACAAAGGAGAGTGACTTTTACAAATTATTTGCCGTTTGTAATGGAAGCATTGAGCTTGATCGAAAGAAATTGCAATTTTTATCAAAGAAAATTGAATTTCTATTGTCATATGTAAATCGTGAAAATGAGGAAAAATTAGAATAATATTTAAATAATAAATATACATTACATGCGAAATTTTTTTTTAATATTTCGAATGAACTGCGTTTTGAATAATACAACAACGTGTTGTAAAATTGTAAATATTCAACAAAAATTGGATTTTTAGAAACTGCTTCCGATTTTTTACTATCTACGACGTTAAGTTTGTAGTTTAAGATCTCAAAGAAATATAGCTGCTATTAGGAAATTCATCCACAAATCACCGCACTGGATAGTATCACAAAAACTTTTTACCTATTAAATGTATAAAGCTTTATGGAAACGACTTTCTTTCGTAGTTCTCTCTATTAATGACTCGGATGTAGAGATTCACGCATGCTAAAATTTAATAAATTTACTTTTCTAAATTTTTTAGCACGATCTTTTATTGTACTTGTATCAATGTCTGATTACGTATACACACCGTATTACCAGCACTCTAGCAAACTACTAGTATAATTTATGCATTTGTGTGTAAGCTGCGTGGCTTTCGACTATTTCTTTACCAACATAATTTTCAAATTGTTGAAATTAATTTATGTACAGAGTACGGTTAGAATTTTGAAACCAAATTTTGTTTTATTTAATTTTTTTCTTTTTATATGCTACAAAACATATGCTAAGGAACGTAACGATTTATACTTATATTCTTAGGGCTTATATTATGTTATACATTATTTGATACCAACGAAGGATATTAAGTGATCTTTTGAATAAAAAACCTGGAACACATGCGTATGTTTAATCCGAAATATTTTCAGTTCTTATTAAAAATACCTTTTACTTTAACAAATAAGTAGTTTACATTGTAAGACATTCCTCTCACAAGGTCCAAGGAGTAAAAAACTTAAATAAAGTTAATTAGAATCACATCAATTATCTTTCCGTGGTAAAAATTACAGCTATTGTAAAATATTCTTCGTTTGCTAGTATCAGTTCCCTTGGAATTCATATTTTAATTTATAACAAATTAAAATGAAAGTTTCTGAGTTCGTAGGCATTAAATAAAAAAAACTCTGTTAACTTTGGAAATATTCTATAAAATATTTATAGAAATTTGGATTCGTTGGAAAAGTATATTTTAAATTTAACATTGTCTAATAATAAATACATAACCGGAAGAGACAACAATCTCTGCATACTTCGTTTTTATCTATATAAGTATGCATTTAGGTTTATTTGATACCATCCTTGTCTTTACAAATGCAATATTTCCGAGCCTCCTTTAATTTAAGGCATCCTGAAGTGGGTACATAAGAGTCTAGGCGCGATATATCCTCGACTACCGTCTTAATTGTATTAGAAATTTTATAATAAATTGCTGTTGCTTGAAAACTTGCCCTTTTCGGCTTCGCATCGAATGTTAAACGGTACGTAGTCTGATTTGGTGGATTATATATTTTTGATTGTACTTCTTTCAATTTATCTAAAAACAGTTGGCTGCATTTATCGCTAATATTTTTACCGAAAAGATAACGATTTATCTCATCAATCACCATAAAGACTATGCTTCTCGCAGTCGAGTCACTTGATGAGATAGTTTCGTATGGTGAACAAGCACACCAGTGCTCTGGTATTTCAGCGTCATAGCAAGTACGATTCTCCGGTATTTCTCGAAAAATACTTAAACCCTTTATTGTGTCATTCGCATAGAGAAATTGCTTTTGTGGATTACCTAGCTCAATTACATGCCCCATAGTGGCATAAATATCATATGGTGAGGTTAAACGATAACGATTTAATTTTAAGGATTTCACGAACTCTGGATATTCATATTGAAACCAGGCTGGTATTGAGATAAACATCATTGGCAACCGTTCTTCGAAGAAACCAGAGTTCAACTGTAGCAAGGGACCCCAACGCATACCATGATCAGAAAAAAATATTACAATCGAACTATCCAAAATGCCATTACTTTTCATGTGCTTGAGATATTCTAATATTTTCACATCCATTGTTAGTGGTAAGTCGAAGTACTCATGACTAAATGAGTTTGTCCAGAATAGTCCAAAGAACGGTTCAGTTGTAATACTGTTGGCAAATTGTAATGCAAAATCATATATGTATTCGGCTTGATGTTTGCGCCCAATACATGTAACTCCACCTCTAAGTCTCTTTTTTGCCATTTTTGATGAAATAGCCAACAACATGGGGCGTATAAGTTAACACAGGTAACCAATCATCCGGCCAAAATATTGCTTCAACGAAATCTGCTGACGGCGCGTTTACAGCTTTGCACATGACAACAACTAGTTAACACAAGTAGCCAACCATCCGGCCAAAATATTGCTTCACAGTATTGCTTTAATCTGCTGACGGCGCGTCTACAACTTTGCGCGTGACAACAACAAACCAAATACAAGACAGTAAGCGGAATTGGTTCACGCGGCTAATAACGTGCAGCGACTAAAGTTAGGGCAAACAGTGTAGGTATTTAGACGCTAGCGTCGCTCTTGTGTAATTTAGTTATAATAACTCTTCCGCTGAGACCGGCTGCCCTTGTTAAGTGCAAGGGAAATAAAAATATTTAAAAACGAAGTTAACAGATCGTTTTACTTATATAATAATCGGTTGGCTGTTGGAGGAAACCTTTTCTTCCATAATTGAATGTGCTAAGACCAATAGAATCTTCAGCATATGCTGTTTTATAGCCATTTTCTTTGAATTTATTCCAAATGAAATTACATTCAGGTCTATTCAAACCGCCAACTGTTTCGGCTCGACATTTGTCTTCAGCGGTGGATAAATTGTACGATGATAACAGAGCCATCAAATTCGGAAAGGTATTATCGGCGATCTTTAAATAAAAAACAGAAAAAAAAAAATACATTTTTACATACATATATATTTATATAAATATAATTATTAAAAAATTGTTTGGATATACTCGTACTATGAACATAATGCTAAAACCTATTATATAATCATAAAACGGTGCCTCAGTACTTTTGCATTTTTCGGCACCGGTACAAACCCTGCAAGAAGGTTACCAATCATTCGAGCCAACATATGTCAGCAACGCATGATGTCATATCCCGTCATCTCGTAGAACGATTTTCCCATCACTTTCTTAATGCCGAAATGATAAATGTGATGTTTACATTTGTATACGAGTACGTCATTCTCTCTTCGTTTCCTCGTGCATTTTCGTCATTCTTGTCGGACAAACAGAACACAGTTTAGCGACAGCATTGATGCCGAAGGAAATCAGTTTTTACATACATACAAACATTATTAAGATTCAGTCTTTATTTCAATATTTTTACATAGATCATGTACATGGTTTATATAACATATAAAGAAATTATAAAACCGTCAACAGTGATGTGGGAGCTAAGCCGCGAATGCGATGACTGCTTGTTTGATGACAGGAGATATTTCGTCTTGTTCTCGTTCACTACCAGACCCGTTCGCCTCACTCTTATAGTAGATTGTACCTTCTCTATTCAGCTCTGCAGCTCTTATTATTCTCCCCAACATCAAATTGAAAAAATCACACGACAAGGTGTCACCCTGTCTGCAACCTCGTTTGGTATCGAATAGCTCGGATCGGTCCTTCCCAATTTTGACTGCACTTCTGGTGTTGTCTAGCGTCAGCTTACACAACCGTATAAGTTTTGCGGGGATACCAAATTCAGACATAGCTGCATAGAGGCAGCTCCTATTCGTGCTGTCGAAGGCGGCTTTAAAATCGATGAAGATGTGGTGTGTGTCGATCCTCTTTTCACGGGCCTTTTCCAAGATTTGGCGCATGGTGAATATCTGGTCTCATCTTTTTCTTTTAGAGCACATGCGGGAAAAACAGGAGCGGAACATTTAAGAGTTGAGGCAATTTTAAATTTTTTTGTGTTTATTTTTATTTTTTTTTATTGCTGACGACATCGTAAGATCTGCCGATATATTCCCATTGCAAGTAGAATTATAGCAATGTGAATATGACTTTTACCAAGCAAACACAGCTATGCTAATATTATCCAAAGAAATGATCTCAGATGATTTTAAAATTAACTCAGAACTCGCTTCTAAGCGTCAAATAAAAATGTTTAAGTTTAAATATAAATTTTAGCTTAAAAATAAATGTTGTAATATAAATTTACAATGCAGGCCAAGTAACTAAGTGAAATTCACTGTTCTTATAATATTTGGTGCATTGCGTACTGCCATTCGGAAGGCCCGGATTCATATTCCGGTGCGACCAACATCCAAAAATTACAGAAAATTAATTTGAATAAAAAATTAAGTTAAATTTTCTAATTTTGCGGTCGCGCCTCCGCAGGGGATGTCCGAGTGTATAATCATATATACGATTATTTTGAAATCACATTTTAAAACTGTTACAGTGAATTATTTTCATAGTACGAATTTATCGCAATTGAAGCTCCCTATAGAGCACATTGCAGCTTACACGGAACAAACTGACCAGAGAATGTCAGCGTTATGAATATCCGTTGCTGTTATGGCCAAATGGTACGAACTTGGTTATGATATGCCCGACTAATGAATTGTTGCGTTTGGTCAATATGAAAAATAAACTTAACGAAATGATTTTGTTTCGTTTCCGCGTCGTGTTATCGAAACGAAAATAAATTGTGAATGAAACGAAAAAAAATATATATTTTGATAACGATGCAGCCTCGCTATAACTTCATCGTAATTAAAACTTCCTATAGGGCACATTGCGGCTAAAACAGAAGCAAAATCTTTATGAGTATAGGCATTTTTTTTATTTTTTGCTAAAGACGTTGTATTAGATGCCAATGCATTCTCAATGCAAGTCAAGAAAAGTCATAAAAGCAAATACAGCTAATTCAATATTATCCGAAAAACGGTTTCAGGTGATTTATATATTGTGCAGAAAGATCGAAATTAACTCAGAAGTGAGTTAAGCACCGAATAAAAATGTTCAAAATTAAATATAAACTTCTGTCAAAAAATATTGTAAACAAAAAGGATTTTCAATATTATCCAACGAATTCCAGTGTTTTTCTAATATTTTGCATGATATTTCTGGCCTTAAATCTGTTTTACATGCAGACTATGACCGGGAAATTAAAAAATATTGTTTCTTATGCTAAGCCAACAAGGATACATAACGAAAATTATGAAACAAGTAAGGAAATTTTATTCCAAAAAAAAATTTAATTGAAATTTAAATTAGAGTGGTGCCATTATGTGTGCGTGTGCATATTAATATTATATTTATTATAATATATATTTTTATTTAACTGAAATCAATAATCACGCACTTAAGGTCCACAATAATTTCTGTTGACTAATTTTGTAGTGCATCGGAATTTTTGCTTCAAAATCATGTAACTTTCAACAGAAATTTTTGACTTGAATTATAGAATGTGCCAAAAAGTTATTACCTATTCGTATATATATGCATAAGCACTGGTGAATAATTTAGTTAAAATAACTAAACATAAACATTAACAAAGGGGCCCAATGAGCAGGAGTTTATTAAGTATTAACAAAGAACGTTCATTAATAAGAAGGGAAAAGAACTGTGAATTGTTTATTGAAGTGGCTCAGGTTTCACCAAAGATCGTATATAAATTATGGTTTTTTGGTATTATAGTAGTAGTAGTAGTACTGTGTAGGGAAAGATAAACAAAAAAATGTGCATATGTGTTAGTGCTGCCCAAAATGGTGTGAGTGCACTGGTGAACCCATCAGCCCGTTCTTTGCAGGGAAGCTTCTTACTTATTTTTTTGTATCAGCATCAGCTGAGAAAAGCACTATTAATCATACGATGCCCTAATGGACAAAATGTTCGACGGCCAAGTGATACCAAAATGAACTACAGTGTAATGTAGCCACATTTGAAGGTGCATGTCGAAGTTGTTTTGACCGCCAATGACCTTGCATTGATCTTCTTTGCAAAAAAATTTATATAATATTTTTTTCCTGGAGTGCAATAGATGTTGGTTGGCAGTTTCCTATGCATGCGTGTTTACCATCTGATCCTGTCCATGGCGAAAGATTTGGCTGGCGAAGAATTGACCTATTTGCCAATAGGGACAAGGGTTTCTATGAGAGAGGCATAATCACTTTACCTCTGTAACAGCAAAACATAATATAATAGAACAAAACGATGCATATACCACATAACTTGGATAATTCTAACTATCGAAAATAGAACCTTCAATTCAATGCAAAAATAATGGATTATTTTCTTTTACGAGACCAACGTGTTTACGAAATAATTGTATTTCAATTATTTATTTCAAGTTTAGGTTCATTTAATTTATTGAATAAAACAAACTTACTTTATTGTATCCTTGCAATTCGAACCAATTGTTCATTTGCATATATTTAAACGTCTGAGGCATAGTGCGACGAATATTTATACGCGAAACACTATCGATGCCCAGGAGCAATATGTTCGGTTTCCTTCTGCCAAAAGTTGAGTTGCTTTTGGGTGCATTATCGTTGTTGTTGGTGTTATTTTTTTGTTGTACGAACGAAAATGCGTCTTTTTGTATGAGGCTCGTTTTATTATTATTTAAATAACACTCAGTGATCATGAAATCTATATGTTGGGGCACCATAAAGTCTTGTGGAAAGTTAACGCACGGAGATATTCTAAAAAAAAAATATTAATAAGAATTAAAATAAAAAATAATAAATTATGATTAAAAAAAATAAATTAAATATTAAAATATTTTTGAAACATACACATTAATTTATATAATATTTTTCGGCGTACTGAAGACATCATAGAATATCTTACAGCTTGTAGGCCGCCGTGGCCGACTAATAACCAAAGCGTACTGCCATTCGGAAAGCCAGATCTCGAAAATAATTTAAACTAAAAAATTAAGCTAATTTTTCTAATAGCCATCGTCCCTGGGCAGGCAATGTCAACCTCGAGTGTAAATTTCTGACACGAAATAAAAGCTCCACATGTAAAATCATCTGCCGTTCGTAGTCGGCTAAATACTAAACCAAACGTTAGGTTCCTCCAAATGCTGCAAAGCGCCAATTCTCGAAAACTAACTAAAATATAGAAGAGTATTGGCATCACCAAGTGAAACCAAGTCGCTCGCCGCCTGATCCATCCAATGCAGTATTTCAACCGGCAGGTATCGCTTCGAATACTTTCAAAGCTGGAATGCTTTCATTCTTCGTATAATATGACCTTGTCAGCGTAGCCGCTATAAGTATGTCAATATCGTCATACAACATGTACAGCTTATCGTTTTATGGACCGTAAAACTTTTCCCTTGACGACTTCGAAAACTACCTAGGCCGACTTATCGGTGTAGATATCATCCGCACTTCAGGGATTGTCAACTCCTCCGAGTGTGTTTCTGTCATGAAATAAAGGTTCCTCATAAAAAAGTCATCAGCCGTTCCGAGGCGTCTTGGTGTAAACTGTAAGTCGCTCCATTTTTTGGAAAAACAGCCAGTCGCAAAAACCATAGATTGGAGGAGGAGCTTGGCCGCAAATCGCTTCCTCATCTGTCAGCTCTTTTTCTAACACCCTAGTAAACAAATTTCAACGTCTGAGATACCGTTCCACAGTCTGCTGTGATTGTAGTTTTTGGACGTCGAGCCTTCCTTGTGTTTGTTTACGGGCGTTCTTTGCTACACAAAGGCGAGTGCCTCGGTGTTGGGTTCTCATAACGTACGCATTTATAAAATTTTGCACAATATCTTTCGCAAATCACAGCATAATCTATTTAGTTGCTATCTGACACTTCAATTAATCATATTTCGATCAGCTTCAACCCATCTGGAGATGTTTTATCATGTAGGCTGAATTCCCCGACTGATGTGCCAATAACAAATTCTTCGCCCATCCCAGCGTTATAATCTCTTAGTACGTGCCTTCTAGCTTCTTTGGATACATTTTCCTTTTCTTCCGTTAGAGGTTTGGAAATAGTCAGAGATTATATCAATGGGAGTCTCTCTCCCACTACAAGTCCACCGCAAAATTTGCGCTCCTTTATATACCGCTATAGTAGATTGCTTTACCATATTTCGTCCTTATCCCGTCCATAGCATTTTTTGGACGACGGTGATGACAGCCTGTGAGGACATCAACCAGCTGGGCAGCAACACCTTCCTAATTAAGAAGCGGACATTATAAGTGCGCATTAAATGCATAAAACAAGGTCGCTCAATCGAGACTAGTCTGCATTTTTCATTGGTGGAACCCAAACCCTATGGAAAATGAATATATGCGTTTTTGACCTTACAAATTTAGTCTACGACAGACTGTCCCAGCGAAGTGCCCAGATGTATGAAACATATTCGATTATACTTACATATATCTGTCCTCATTTGTAACCACCCCTACAGGTCGTCTTATTTCACGATAACAACAATGAATATTCTCAATATTGGTATTTGACACGTTCGAAATTCCCGCCATTGCCGACATATTCATGTGTAAAACATATTTCCGAGCTTGGTTCAGATAAACCGATTGAATGAGTGGAATATCATTGGCGCAATTCTCATAAGTTAGCTTGCCGGGATTAAATAATTTGAATGCAGCAGTTGAGAATGGATCCACGTAGGGTGTGCGACACTCAGATGTGTGTAAGAAATAATATATCGTTGAGATGTCGTTAGAAGTGTCATAAAAATTGCGTGCATCGAGCGAATAAAGTATCCGGATGAGTAAAATGATCCCACAGGTTGTTATTATCTGGATCGGATTTGCAATTCCTACATTTATTAGATTTTTGCGTTTATGCGATCTTTTGTCACTTATTGGCTGATAATTTAACCTCGACATTTTTTATTTATATTTATATGTAGACATATGAATACAAATATATTTATAAAATAAGAACGGTTTGATTAACAATTATTTTTTTCATTAAAAATATTGTAGTTCTCAAAATTAACTCTGACATTGAGTGAAAAATAAAATATTTTTCTTTATATTAAACGCTTGTCAATTATTTTGTACGCACTTTTCAAAAACCTAAATACATTTTCATTGTATAAGGTTTGTGTAAGGTAAAATATCTGAAATAAAACATGATTCATAATTTGATATAACTTTTAAGTAAACTACAAGGTCTGGTTGTTTGTATGAATTGAATATTTTTGTTATACAACAAAGAAAATTGATCGAAGTGACAGCTGTTTCGGAGATCACCACATCTCCTCATAAGACTTCTTATGGCAGGGATCGAACCAACGGATCCTGACTTAACAGGCGAATGCTCTACCACTGCGCCAACATCAGCCAAAAAATTTATTGTTGTATTATTATTCAATTCATTAACAACCAACAACTATTAAGTGCGCTAATTTAGCCGCTATTATCTTAACAGCTTGGTTAGTTCTTCCAACTTCAGACTGATATTCAAAAATTCAAAAGAAGAAGATCCACACTTTTTAACAATGTCTAGGCTCATTCAACCGGCAGTGGTTTACGGGGAGAAGTTTTGAAACGATCGATTATTAATCATTTTTTCACTAACTCGAAAATATATTTCTTTAAGTCGGGAAACATTTTAAAAAGGAGACTTAGATTATGTACTCGAAAATTAAAAGAAGTGCTTTAATTTGTGAAAAAAGTCGGACGCACTTCTCTTAAATAAAAAGTGAGCTACATATCTTCGGTAGATAGAAGAACAGAACAGAATACCAACCGGAGGCTTTTGGTCTGGAGAGATCATACGTTCCGAGTCAGGTAGGCTTAATATAAGTAATCAAGGCGATAAAAGACTTTGATTTCCTTCTATTTTCTTAATATTTTCCACGAATCCCATAGAACGTAGACTTTAAACCAAGTTTATTTATTATTTAACTTACTTCTTTATAGATGGGAAAATTAGGGGCTGTCCATAAATTACGTAGGCATAATTTTCATTAGTCGCATAAAAAATTACGTCTAAGTTACTTTTCTTTTAAATTTTTTATGGCTTCGACGATAACTTAACCATATTGAGCAATTTCGTGAGATCCTCCATTGACTGTTAAGATAACGATAGGCTGTACTGTACTTTCAGAAATTCCAATTAAGATTTTAAGTGCATGCCTGTCTTATAATATCATTCCTATTAACTATTTGCATAAATATTATCAATATTCAATAACACAGTAGAACAATAATTTAAGTTACCGTCTACCGAAAAAATGTTAAAGAGCTGTTTAGGTAAGTTTTGCCTCATAGAGCCCTCCCTACCCAAGTAAACAAGTACAAAGATCCAGTTGATATATTTTCAACTAATTTAATTTAACAATTTTTTTTTAATTTAATTTATTTTATTTTAATTAATTTTTATTAATTATTTAAATTCTTATATTTAATTTAACTTGATTTTCTTTTCGTTGATAATTTAAGTTTTTATTTTACTTTTAAATTATATAACTTAATTTAATCTAATTTCATATTATTTTACTTTTTTTATCTTATTTTTTGTATTGTTTTATTTATTTTATTTTACTTTAATATATTTATTTAGTTTAATTTTATTTTGTTCTGTTTTATTTTATTTTATTTTTTATTTTTAATTTTTTTAATTTAATTTTATTTTACTTTATTTTATTTTATTTTATTTTATTTTATTTAATTTTATTTTATTTAATTTTATTTTATTTTATTTTATTTTATTTTATTTTATTTTATTTTATTTTATTTTATTTTATTTTATTTAATTCTATTTTATTTTATTTTGTTTTATTTTAGTTTATTTTATTTTATTTAATTTTTTTTAATTCTATTTTATTTTATTTTTCTTTAATTTATGTTATTTTGTTTTATATTTATTTATTTTTTTTTTTTTTATTGTATTTTAATTTTTTTTTGGTTTTAATTAACAACTCCCGAATCAAAAGTAGTTTGAGTTATAAAAGTATTTAATTAGTATAAAAATCAATTCTTAAATGCCCACTTAACATTTTGTAAAAGAAGAAGAATTTTAGAAAATAAGAACAAGGCTGGTCTCAGTTTAACCCCGATTATCATTTAATATTAAAAAAAATTTATTTTCTCAGCTGTCTATGCTGGAGATACTGATACACATCGAGCATGCCCACAATTACAAATTTACGCATTTGTGGAGTTGCCGACTTAAAATCTGACTTATCATTTCAAATAATCTGCAAAAACAACTACGAAAAAGAAAAATAAAATAAGATAAAACAGGAAATAACTACTTGAGCCAAAATCATTTCGCACAGAACTGCAGCCATTCGACTGACACATTGCTTCCGAAGGGATGCGCTGCTGACGATGGAACGAAAAAAAATCTTAATGAACTATTTATTGTCATTAAACAGATTTTCGGTTTATTTGTGGTGACAGATGTTATTGGTGGTGTCAATTAACTATGCAACGGTTTTTTTTTTGTGGCGTGCGCACTAAATGGATAATTAGTTTAATTGCATTTAAGAGTACACCGAAGTATAACATAGAAATGTGTTTTATGTATTAACAATTTTATGGTCCGATAACGATACGATAAGAAATATAAGAACTCGTACACATCAACATAATAAAAACAAATTATTTAAAGGCTCTTCTTTGCGTATACAGTATTCGCAGTGGTCAACGTGAAAGGAAAATAATTGTTTGGAGGCGAAATTGTTATTGCGAAACGTGAAATGAAATTGAACATGACCAAAACTGCAATTAGGTAAAGTGCCACACAAATGATTTACCTCAGCGAGAACCTTGTTAAAAAACAACCAAACCAACATATTTTCCTTTGACAGAACTTAATATTTTCAATAAGATCTTCAAGCCAGTCATAAAAGGAACGAGTGTAAGCTCTGATACGCAAAAAATGCTCTAATACTTATCACAAGGAGTGTGTTGAGATCTCATTAAAATTAATCTACCAAACAACAAGAGATGACATTGCTTAATCTGACTATTACTTAATTTTTTAGATGCTCTTCTCAATGACAAAAATTTATTTTTTGGTTTATTTTTACCTCTACCTTCTAGAACTGAGTCGAAGTTGCCAGTAGGTTCACTTGATTTTTGATATTTCGTACAAAATTTATTGATTGCTTTTATGAAATTTTTTATAAGTCCTGGTTTAATATGTGGGTTTTGGATAAACTAAAGGGAAATTTTAACATTTTCTTGTCCATGATTAAGTGTCTGATGAAGGGGCCGGGCCACACATTTTTTATAATGCTCTTTTCTAACGTGACTATTTCATTTGTAGAAGCAGCCGCAAAGCTACGACTATCAAATCCGCGCAGATTTGCCATTCGTGGTCTTCATATGTAATCGGCAGAAAAAGGGTTTTCATATTTTCCTAAGACTCTTTCGAACAGACTGCATAGCCAAAAGAGCTGTCTATGAAAAGTCGCCATTCCTTCTTTTTATACGTTTATGCAACCATTGATATTTCTACAAAAAACTTAACCTTCAACCACTTCAAAATATTGCGTAAAGGGCTCAATTGCTGCAGTTCAGAGCCTTAAAGTTCCGTTAAGTGTCTCGGATCCTATAATCTAGCTTACATTATCCTGTGTGACTGTCATGAACTACACGGTAATTCGTATTTTTATAATGAAGGGTGAGAATTGCTGTGCGAAAGAGGACGAGTAGCCGATGGTAAATTTGGATACAATATGAATTATTTTTTTAATTATCTTTGCGTTTCCCGAATCCATGAATTGCCTGGCAGAGTAACAATCAGCTGTATGATTTGCCGATATAATGGCGAGCTCTGCAAAACGATATGATGCTTATTTGCCCCTCAATCAATTTATCAAACCTGTTGAACACGGATTGCAGGAGACACGAGTGCCGAGCTTTTATCCTGATTTTTTATGTTTTCGTTGAAATAGTAAGATTATATTTTTTATAATAAGCTCAATGAATACCCTCCACCCGCTCAACCAACTCGGGAGGCGACATCCGCATAACGTACGAAATATGTCGAGTCATGATTGGTAAGCGTTTCTTAAGCGTCGAGATTTAAAACTGTTCAGCTACAGAAAAAATAATTATTCCACAGCTGAAAACTAATAATTATGGAATTTTAACATTTAATTGTTGAGAGAAATAAGACTAGTTTTCCTGATGCTAAAAAGTGAGTCTGAGAGATCGAAGATGCTGGAATGAAAATTAAAATTGTGACACAATCAGCCAAGGGGTTCATTCAATTCATAATATGTTTTACGTGACTTTAATAGTAAAGAAGTAAAACTGTTTAAATACACGAGTTGGAATATTAAAGTATACCTCAGTTAAGAGTTATGAATTACAAATTGAACCGTTAAGAAGTTTCACTACGAACAATGCGCCTAACATTGCCCTACGACTTACGAGAAGCTTTAAACGGTTAATATAGGGAGGAAGATTTATCTTTCCATGCGAAATATCTTAATGCAAAAAGTAAAAATTGTTTTTTAAGAGACTCCAACTCATCGGAATGAACCTGATGATTGTGGTCCCATATCAGTGAGCCATATTTTAATATTCCCCTCACCAAAGCCGTATAAAATGCTTTACCATTTTTAGCTTTTAATACAATGGCATTGATATGAAGATGGAAATTGAGCTTAGGATCCATCATAATCCCCAAATCAACAAAGTTGCCGACTTGCTTTAGACTACAGTTATTAATTATATAGGGAGAAGGTCGAGCAAGTCTTCGCGAAAAGCACATTGTCTTACACTTCTTAAGGTTCAAAGGCATCTCGTTGTTATTACATCAGTTAGCTAAATGGTCCAGATTGTTATTGTGGGCCAACTTAATTTTACTTCACCACAAATGCATCAAAGATTGCCCGCATTAAGCATCCGTCTGCAAGTCATTATTTGTCAAAAGTTCACACTGCAATTACTTTATTTGAACGATAACAGGAGCACCTAGTTCACAAAGGTAGAATGTAAATTAGATAACACGCAGGTGCCACATGACAAAGATTAGATCTATAAATATATTTTCCACACACTGGGTGTTTATTTTATTTTATAGTGCGATTCACCCTGCACACTTGAAACATATATGTATGTATTCTTACTTCACTTGAAATCAAGTTGTTGACACTAAACACATTTCCAGTCTTGTTGTCTGTTAGACGAGGCAATCAAAAAACAATTATCAATTTTAAAATTCCATTTAATAACCAGTCCAAAATTTTAAGAGCTCTGACGGGCGCTCCATGGTACGTTCGTAACGTAAATATTCATAAAGACCTTGGTATTTTACTGGTTAAGCCTGAAATTGAAAGATGCAGGAAGAAGTACTTCACAAAGCTGAGAAATCATCAAAATCCGCTAGCTAATGCTTTATGCAACCCATCGAGAAATTCTCGCCTGCAGCGAAGAGATGTTCCCGCTTCCTAAGAAGAACGCAGTACTTTGGAAAGGGCTCAGAGTTACATAACTCGAGCTCTCACGTTGGTAATTTAGTTTTTAAGTTTTGTACTGTTAGGCTTATATTATAGCAGATCTAGTAAATAAATGAGTTGGGTTGTAGGTCCACCCTTCGATTTAATAATGGCATGCACTTATAGCTTACCAATCGTTAATTAAGGCATTCTTTAAAGCAGTTTTTGATGTTTTACTGCGTTCCTTAATCTTGTGTTTTAAAATAGCTCACATGCGCTCAATGGGATTAAGATCTGGAGACTGTGCCGGCCAATCTAACAAAACACTGTTGTTATCTCTAAACCAACGCATCATAGTCGCTCATTTGTGACAAAGAGCATTGTCTTGCTAAAATTGAACCCCCTCTTAATCAGTATCGCCGAAAATGCGCGTTAACGAAGGCAAAAAACAGCTTCTAAAATATTTATGTACTTTTGACTGTCCATACGACCCTCGTAAACGAACATTTCGCCGACACCGTCAGCAGCCATGCAGCGCCAGATCATAATGCCGCCTCCTCTATGCTTAACCGTGGGCACCATGCAATCTGGATGATATTCTTCCCAACCCGTCGCCTCACGAACGTCACACCAGGTGTTCCAAATATCTGTAGAAAAGAAAAAATAATGTTTTCATAAGATATGTATTATGTCTTCAAAATTGCTGTAGGGTAAGAACCTATGGCTGTTAATACTTTAAGACGATCTTAACTAAGCTTACCTCGAAGTTTGATTCATTAGACCATAGAACGTTCGACAAACTTTCTTCCGTGAAATGTTGGTATCAGCGAGCCTATTCCAAACGATTTTTCCTATTCGTTCTGAGAGCCATGCCTTCTTTCGGGCTTTACATCCTTTTAAACCTGCTTCCAGAAGTCTTCCTTTAGCTGTTCAAGCACTAACTGGTTTATTAAATTCATCCGAAAGGGCAGAAGAAGACTTTTTTCGATCCTTGAAAGACTCGCGTATAAGTATTCGGTCTTCTCGTTTACTGGTTAGACGCTTTCTTCCACTTTTTCATTTATTATTGTGAGATCTCGTCTCCACAAATCTTTTGAGAGCACCTTGGACCGCGCACCGCGAACATCCCACCAACTTGGCAATCTCAACCTGAGGCTTACCTTCTTCATTCGGATCTGCGCTTATACACACTCAAGAAGGTTGCTTTCTGCAAATCTAAGCTAAATGCTAGTTATAAATCGAATTTCAAGTAAATCGAAACATCAATGAGGTCGAAAAAGGACCTGTTTGAAGAGAATAGAGGCTGATATTACTGCCTACCACGAAATGCGATGATACTTTAGGACCAAAGAAGGTATCTTCGGCACAACTGTCGGAAAAACCACACATCACCAGATACAAGCTAATTCATCATCAAGCTACATGGGAGTCACCGGATAGAAAAAAGCGCATCGACCATGTTTAGAAGGAAGACATACACGAAGAATAAAACGTGAATATATTCTGCACAATCCAAACCTGTGAAATGGGAATCTGTTTATATCATCTTAAAAGCTGACTTCGACAGCTACTTTCCCTGCAAATCTTATTCGGCTTTGTAAACGTCCGTTGGACAATACTAGAGTGCAGCTGAATTTGGAAAGATCCTTACCGAATCATTCGGTGCTAAACGAAGTTTTTCTTTCGTATGACTTCTTTAACCTGAAGAAATTAAAGAATGGATTTTCTGTAAGAGCATAAGACTGCCGAATTGTGGAATCATTAAAGCCAACAGCTGCTATTCTGGACTAAGTAGGACTAAGCGGCCCAACAACTTCGCTTAGGAACAGGCTATTTAGCCTAAATCATCGAGCTCATCTAACGGGAGGTCTAGAAAATGAGCTGTTTCGAAGAGTTTGGACCAGAGGGATAGGCGGGCTAAATGTGCTGGTTTTAGCAGGCATGCAAAGAGGTGGTTAGTGTCGTGCGGGGACTCGTTACATGCGGGACATTCGTTTGGCATGTCGAGGTCGAGTCTGGATAGTAAAAGCTTAGCTTGCGCTAGTACTATGCGGGAACGCGGTGAAAAATCCTGTAAGTCGGTGTCCGAAGCCTTCGAGATAAAGGGTTATCGAAAAATGTATGATTCTCTGCGTATGTTCGATGGCGAATACCGAAGACGATGGAACGATTGAAAGAAGAAACGACTGGTCTGCAACAGTTTAGATGAAGAAACTATTCCAATATGTTCATTAAGTGATTAATAACAACAATAACATTACATTTCTATTAAAATTAACTAAATATTTTTTTAATTTTTGTACTTTAATTTATAAATCACAACGAAAATTTCATATTTGAAACTTTTAAACAATTTTAATTTTAAAACAAGCTTTTTCTCACGGCGCTGTCACGATATCATTCACTTGAAGTAGCACTAGAGGATAACATTAAGACGAAATATCTAGACTAGACCATAAAATCGCTGTGTGGTTCCGGACTGGAAGCATTTGAGGAAATGGTGGACTCGTAACTTTCATCTCTTTCACGCTTCTCGCGTCGTTCGCGTGCACGCCGGTTTTGAAACCAAATTTTCACACGTGTATTTGTCAACTCTAGAGTTTCGGCTAGCTGGTTGGCCTCCTCCGCGCTTAAATAGTTGGACGTACGATAGGCATTTTCCAAGGCCTCCAGTTGACTGGGTGTGAATGGTATACGCGGCAGACGACCGGGTGTGCGCTTAACAGGTGGTTGGCGTAGATTACCTGTTGTAAAAATATCAACAAAAAATATTCATTATATTGTATGAATTACATACTCGCACAATAAATAATTGTGAAATATGAGAGTACTACTTACGCGGCAAACGCGGCGGATGATAACGTGTGTAGTGTAACCAATCGAACATGGGTATTTGCGGTAACGGCTCGTGACTAAATCCACTCATGGTGGCATCCATAACGCCAATATTGGCAATATTCACCATTTCGGCGGCCACAGTTGAATGATACGCCTTTAATGCCTGCTGTTGGCGCCGATGTTGCTCCTCCAATTTCATGCGTTGGACGATGCCGATTGAAGCATTCGTGCCTACATATCTATCGCCAGCACGATGCAGAATATAATCTATACTGAAATCGCTCATCATTTAACCTATGCTGCAGATCTCCAACGCTGCTCGAAATATACTCGTATTTCAGTATCTCCGCCGATCTTAACAAGTTTGCAAATAAAACCGAACTGAAACTGATTTGCCAATTGCTGAGCCTTTTAAGGATCTTGCAAATTAGTAATGGCGAACACGCATCACTGGTGAAGTAAATCTCTCTCTGTCTCTCTCTGTCTCTCTCTCTACTGCATATTTTTGTTATCCTATGATGTCCTTGCACAACACAACAGTAAAAGGATACAAAAACAATTGGGTCTCTTATTCAATTTCAATTCATTGAGGCATTATTTATACTCTAAATGGGCGTTACCCTTAGTTAATAACCACAAATGTAAGCCAACACGCAGCAAACAACAAATACACGCGCCGATGGGCGCTTGTAAAAATTCAGGTAGTCGTTTCATGGTTATCTTTCAGATGCGATTAGCACAAATTGAAATGCGGTTGGCCCACAATGGCCACTTTAAGTGCGCTCATGCAAATAATGATACATTTTGTTTTTGTTTTTGTATTTTTTTTTTTTTTTTTGCTTTGGCATTGTGCGTAGTCAGGGGTTGTTGCGTTGAAGAAAGGCCGCTTCTACTTTTCATTCATAACTCGGGCTGTGTGTTTATAGTGAGTGTGCACATACATACATCCATACATTTGTATTGTATTAACTACGGACGATGATCCTCGATGGGAAAACAAGCTGAGCGGTATATCTTAAATATTTTGATTGATATGTGATTGTTTTCGTATAGAGATAATCCAAACAAAGAACGGAAAGCTAATTCGCCAAAGTATCAATTACAATGTTACTATGTGCGTATGAATGGTGGTATGTGTGGATGTAAATATGTAAAACTATAAAATGTAAACACAAATAGTTGGCTTTGACTGATAACAAGTTTACCATATGCATATGTCGGCAAAAGCAATTATAATCGTAGTACTCGTACGTGTATGTACATATGTACTTCTACATACATACGTGTATGGATTTGCGTAAACTAATATTTGTATGTTTGTAAATAAATATTATTAAAGTAAATAATATAAATATGTTAAATGAGGGTTTTGTATTTGAATGAATTTATATGAGTAGCTAAATGATTATTTCATTCACTTATTTTAATTTATATACCTACATACATACAATTATATTGTACATAAATATGTATAGCAACTTATTGAAGGCAAGTTTATTTGAAAAGAGCGATATTAAGAAAGCTAATATGCTCAAATATCTTAATAAGCTTTAGTATACATACATATATAAATATATATGTACATATACACTGCGCGACAACCGATTAGCACAGTCTCTTACCTATCAGTTTAAAGGAAAATAACTCCTTACTCTGAATATGTTTCATGCGTATTCTATTTTTCCTTTTATTCTGTATCATTTTCGCTCATTCTAAGTATAACTGTGAGCTCTGGAAGTGTACCGTTATTTTGCTTTGCTTTTTTCTTTGAAGTGCGACAAAAATGCATGCATGTTTTTTGCGACAGCCGATTAGCACATTTTCGCTTTCATGTCACTTTTCACGTGTAAGCTGCCTTGATTGGGTGTTTAAGTTTATTATTTATTTATTGGGACTAATTATCAATAAAATAAAGTAATTATGGGCAAAGGAAAACTGTTGAACTAGTCTGAAAAAGGCAAAATAAGGGAAAGGTCGGTCATCATCAGTAATAACAGCAGCTGACAAGCGAATCATACTACGACACGCATCTAATTCCCACGACTCAGCCGCCAAAATAAAGGAAAAAACTGGTGTTAAAGCGTGCGTTCGGACTGTACAAAGAGTTATTTCGAATGCTGAGTATATGAAGCATCTAAAATTTAAAAAAAAAAACACCTCTAAACCAACTTAGAAAGATGCAACGACTCAATTTCTGTCTATCAAATATGACCTGGACTAAGGAGTGGGAGCGTGTAATCTTTTCAGATGAAAAAAAGTTCAATTTGGAGGGTTCTGACGGCTTTGCCTACTACTTTCATGATCTCAGAAAGGAAAAGCAGACTTAAGATCGATCGCCCAGCCGTGCGGGTGGTGTCATGGTGTGGGGAGCTTTAACATACTTTGGCACTATGGAACTGCAGTTTCTTACCAGCCGTATGAATGCCATTGCGTACAAAGGTGTACTGAATACGACTTTCCCTGCAATCAAGGATATTTTTAGACCCTTGAAATGGAAGTTCCAGCAGGAAAAAGACACCTATTCACACAGCCAGGATTGTAAAGTCCTGGATTGATGGTCAAAACGTGAAAACGGCCAAGTCAGCCGCCATACTCTCCCGACCTAAACATTATAGAAAATGTTTGGGTATGGCTGGCACGAAAGGTGTACGAGTCCGGCGGGCAGTATTCAACTGAACCAGAACTCATTGAAGGAATAAAAAGGTCCTATGAGGCTGTTTCACTCAATTATATAAAAAAATTATATGACTCCTTACCTCAGCGGATGTACGAAGTCATACTTAACCGTGGAGGCTCAACACATTATTAATTTGTTTTCAAAAAAAGTTAAAAATATTTAAATTAATATTAAAAAACAATTCGAATGAAGTTTGAATCCATTTTCTTTTTTTATTTTAGGTTTTCAAGTGACTGTGCTGATCGGTATGTATTATCGGTATTATCTTCTATTAATTTTCGTATGGAATTATATATTCTTTTAAGGGGAAAACAATTTATTTCAAAAGCTTTTTAGTTTTCCTGATATTAAGTTTCTAAGACGCGCAGCATTGGGTGTGCTAATCGGTTGTCGCGCAATGTATATAATTTGTAACGCTAAGCGATTTTCGGCCGAGCTCCATTTCCAATTTGTGGTTTTGCGTCTTGATAGAATGGAGGGCCCTACAGTTTATACGAAGCCGCCTCCGAACGGCTGATGGTTTTCTTGATGAGGAACCTTTATTTCCTGAGCAGATTTTTGGCTGTTGGTCGCACCAGGACTTGAACCTGGGCCATCCGAATGGCAGTACACAATGTTAACCACCTGCGGCCGCCACATAGTATGCACATTACTTTATTATACAGGGTGCTTTGTCAACTGTGTTGATTTCATGGACTCTTAATGAGAATTAATTTATCGTTGGCAAAGAGCTTCTAGCTTAAAATATATTCATACTCTTTTAAAATAGTTTAAAATGTTTTAAAACGTTAAAACGTTTTAAAAACGATTTCGGGTTGGTTCGAAACAAGTTCTAGCCGGGAGGCCCAATGTTCTTCCGCTTTTTGCAGCAATAATGCGCCGAATACTATATTTCAAGCAACTTCACATTATCTCACAAAAAAAAAAAAAAAAAAAAAATAGTCCATCGAAGTTAAATTTGCACAATGCCCTTGACGCGAGATAATGAGTTTATAAAAAATTTCCATCAATAAATTGAATGTTGGTTTGCCTGTATGGCTTGCAGCGCTATGTATGTCTTAACTATTGCTGATTTAAAAAGTCTCCATTCATGCACATGAAAGCGTCCAAAGTATGCAAGCACTAGAAGAAAAATAGGTAGACCCAACGAAATGTATACCGATCGGGACAGAATAATGAGTTGAACTGATTTAGTCACGTTCGTCTGTCCATATGTTTGTGGGCAAAACATTCCTTCAATTCTTGATTATTTCAACCGAACTTGGTACACAGACGCATGGGTACATTTAAGCAATCATTTATCGGAACCGGCCAGAACGACCATTATAGCATTGCCGCCGCGGGTAAGGGGCTCAAAAATTGACTCTTGGTAAGGCCTGCTTGTCGTAATAGGCTACTAAAACCCTATAGTTCTCGCTACGGTCGGGTTTTTACATCGAAACGACCTGGATTTTATCCGCTCAAGGACTGTCACTCCCGTAATATTCCCCAAAAAATAATTACTCTGCGACTAATTTTGGTTTATTATTGGGACTTTTGCAAAATGATTTAAATTATACCTTCGAGTCTCTAGATTTTTCCCTAACAATAATTGCAATATGTGAATAGAAGTATTTTTTTTTTTAAATAATATTGCAATTGATTAATACGTTTGTTTTTCGGAGACTTAGTCTTGAGTTGTTATTCTCCTGGTTGAGGGTTAACTAACCCAGCGGTGATCTTTTGGGCAGACTGACTGTCATGAATTGGCATTAGATTTTCGTACGAGTGCGGAATGAATGGGCTGGGTCGATGCCAACTGAGCGGAATATTTCCTTTTCCATTCCCCTATTTATACTTAAAACATTCATTTTCTGGCGAGCAATTAATTTTGTTTTTTTTTTTGTTGTGTAGCTGGTGGTGTGAGATGGATGAGCTTAGCCCGTGTTGTCATCATGCCTAAACCGCTGCAACTTCTCACCTGCCTTCCCCTCTTTACGCAAACGTATTTGTCGCTCATTTACTTAGGTATTGCTCCAGAGATTAAACCTCTGCACTTCCGCGTAAAACTTATTTCCGTCTCTGCAGAAGTATGCCTAGGGGCAGTATTTCATTTTCTAATTTCTAATATTATATTTGGGGCAGGCCCTCGCTTTATCAAAAATTCAATTCCAATCAAATGTTAATATAAATGCTTATCAGTCGCACTTTTATGCGCAATTTGTTGTTCGGTTATAAGAAAAAAACTTGTGTCTTATCTACACGTATATATGTATATTTACAACAACCTCAACAACAATTTATTTTATAATCCCAATACAGTAGCACTGAGGTAGGTGCTCGCATACGTGTATTGTATTATATAATATTTACAATAACAACAGTTATCAAACCAAGCTATGCTATACTATACATATGTATGTACGTGCATGTTATATCTATAAGTGATTTTTTTTTATCAGTTTTATTGTTATCAATATGATGACTTGCAGCGCTTGCTTAGTGTACATATGTTTGCGCACATATTCGTTCAGTTTGATAACGATTTTCTTTTCAAATGCAGCGTTGACGTGTTCTATTTACGATTACAAATCAGGGTTTGTGGGTGCATCGCTATGAAGGTTAAAAAATAAATCAAAACATTTTGCTATGCCCTTATCTCAAGCAATTTCGCATTTAACGATAATGCACTTTGGTGACCAAATGTCTGCATACTTTAATTGCTTTCTATGACTGGAAAGAACACAAATAACAATTGTTTTCAAAGCTTTTACAAATAACACAAAGACAATAGAAAATAATTTTCCATTATTTATTGTTAGTGTTTGTGATTTATTATGTTTTTTAATGAGTGAGTATTGGTGTTTCATCTTTAAGTTCAAATTGTAAGCGATTTTTCTAAGCTTTAAAAATATGAGCTTTACGAGTTGTAATATTTTCGAATTTAGAATATTGCAGTTGGAAAAAATTAGAAAAATTTCATGTAGGCGTTTAAGGATCCTTTTTATTTCTGAGATTTTAATATAGTTTTTCAGAAAAAAATACATTATATGCAACTGCTTGAGAATTGAGACTTATCGGGTCAGTTTATTGGTAGCTTTATAAACGATTAGATGTATTTCCAATGCCCTTCATTAAACAAAAAAGAAAAAAGAAATAAATTTAAAAATATATAATAAATGAAAAGACACTATTATATACATATAATATATAAAGACGTCTGATTTTTACTGAAGCCAAACTAGTTTTTTTTCTCCCCTTGGACGCTGTTTAGTTCGCCCTTTAATAACAAACAGGCTTACTACAGGAAAACGTTTGCAAATCCCCCAAATTTATTACACAAATAATGGTTTGGTTCGCGCGACACATCCTGCACTGCTTTCAATTTTCGGTCGACATAATCACCCAGCGAAGGTGTAAACTCGCTACATCCCCGGCAACAGATCGGTTTTGCAACACTTTTACTCTGGTGAATACGGCGTATTCTCAGAGGGACGCGCAGAGTATCGAGCAAGACCCGAGTAAGTCCATGCGCCATCGCGCGTAGCAAATGAAGCTGTGCCCATCCACATTATTAGATGCGGTAGGATCTTGGTTGACGGGTTTACAAAATTCAACTCCTGCAGGCGGTGAAGCTGATCAGACATCAAATGTCTTGGAGGTTTGGTGAATGGGCCCAAAACTATCACAAGTTTCACAAAAAAATTTTGTTGATGTGGATGACCTTTGGTTTCGGCTAAACACGAAACAATCTGTTAATTGAAGGAAAATTTTAGTGAGGGAATTATCTCGCATCGTGGGCTGTTGCGTGGCTTCCAAGATCGTCGTATTTTATAACGGTAGACTACTTTTTTGTAGTTTTGATAAATTCAAGAAGTACATATGAGTCTTTCAGCGTATCCTTGAATTAACTAATTTATAGTACACAGTCAATTTTTTTTTAAGAAAGTAGTCTTAATGACATTATTTTACGATAAGTTTCATTAAAAGTATATACTGCGTATATATGTAACACGTTTTTCTCTTTCAAAAAAGATTTACGTTGTTTCTACTTTTGCGGCACTGAGAGGCAGCGTCTCAAAGCCAGGTTCCTCCAAAAAAAATTTCCAAAAAATTTCTAATAAACGGAATTTTTTCATGTAACTTGCTGGAAAATACTCTTAGAAATAATGCAGAATTAGTCCCGAAGGCCCGCAAAACCAAGAAGTAACTATAGAAGAGCGGAGAGCGGAGAGCGCAGCGCGCTAAGCGGTAATTCCGGTCACTTGGAGACTTTAATCGCCTTTTCCTCGAAACCACATTTTTCAACTTATTTAGAACCTATTGAACTTATTAGCATGAACTAAACGTCTACCCATGGTCGGTACTGCAACCAAAAATAATCATTATGATTTAAAAAATTTATGAACAATTAAAATTAAAAATTCCCCCTTCTTTTTGGTGAAAATGTGTCATTGTAGTTCCAACGTTTATGCTTCACTTCCACTCGGGTTTATTCTACTTGAGTTTATTCTACTCGGGTTTATTGTACTCGGGTTAAGCCTACATAGCACAAATGCCTAGTGTTCTACGCGAGGTGAATACAGAATGGTTAATATCAGAGTAGCCAAGCACGACTTTGTTAAATTTTGGTCAAATTATATGTGAACAATTAGATTTTTGGAAAAAAGTTAGCTACACGGAAACTCTGTCTCAATCAGGTTAAAACCTAAATAGCTGATTCAACTTAACCCACGTTTAAGCTACCGAGTTAACGCTTCTACATATTATATGTATGTAAAATATGTATAATCTACCCGATTAGTCGCCTTAACTTGAGGTGGAAAAGTATTTATGTTTGCGAGTTTAAACGTAGCAACAGTTATCGTGTCGCTCAGCAGCACTTTTCAGAGCCTTCATTTAACAAAAAACAAAAAAAAGAAGAAGAAAAAAAGCTTTGATTTATAAATATTATTTTTTTATTGCAATAATTCAAATTTTGTAAAAAAAAACTTTATTTTTTAGAGGAACCTGGTCTTAAAGAGGAGTAAAAAGCAATTTAAGTTGGCTGTTGCCATAAAATTATTTACAACAATTTAAGTTTATATTGATCGGCACAGCTCTCCTTGCTCCATATCGAGCTTCGTATAAAATTATTATTTAACAGGGTGTTATAGCAGCAACAGGCTATTGGAAGTTACAACAACTATAACGACAGCTACTTTATTGAAGAAGGTTTGCAAACCGGCTACCTTTTGGTAGATAAATAATGCTTTTGTGCGCTTTCTCAGTAAACATTTTACTGGCTTTTTGTCTCCCCGAACGTGGTTGAGTAGAATTCAGTAACAATTGTTGTTGTCCAGCAGTTCGCCGAACACACTATTTGTAATATTTCGAAAAATTTGAAAATTAAATAAGTCCACTGTAGATAAATATATATATATATATATATATGTGAATACACACAAACGTCACAATTCTTCGTTAATAACGAAAGGAAAACGAATATTATATACATACATACATGTATAAGAATGTTAGCATGTTTGTGTGTACACACACATGTACATCTTTACAATAACGCTTGTTCGCGAGTGGAGTAAAGATATTAAATGTAGAAATTTTGATACATAAGCTCATAAGTATATATATAGTATATAATGTTTAGATATTAGCAGGTTCGATGGGGTTTCGCATTCAGTTATACCAGTGAGCTTGTCGCATAGAAACTCAAATATAAAATCAAAATACGCGAACTTAAGAAATATAAAACCAAATGTCGCGAATAAAATATATTGCATTAAAGAAACAAAATTGCCATGAAAGCGAAAATCAAAATAGCAATTTATTAACAATTGTGAAACATAAACAATTTACACGGTGCTTAGTGTTTTGCATGTTTATTGCAGCCTTTCAATTGCTTTATTTGCGTTTGTCTTTTAATGAAGCCGAATTTTACTACCAAACCACATTTCAAAATATCCAAAACGATGTTGACGAAGGTGTTAATTATAGTAAGATGGATTTTGTTATATAAAAATAAAAATAAAAATAATAATAATAATAATAATAATAATAATAATAATAATGAAAATAATATATAACAATTATTTATAATAAAAATAATAATAACAATAAAAATAATAATAATAATAATATTAATAATAATAATAAAAATAAAAATAATAATAGTAATAAAAATAATATATAATAATTATTTATAATAATAAGAATAAAAAAATAAAAAAAAATAATAAAAATAAAAATAATAATAAAAATAATAATAATAATAATAATAATAATAATAATAATAAAAATAATAATAATAATAATACTAATATTTTTTGTCTCCAAACCTTAAAAAAATTATTTCAAAAATGGATTTTCATAAAATATTTTATTGTTTCATAAAACCAAGTGAATTAATATAATTTGAATGTCATGCACTATTTTTTTTTTTACGATAAAAACCAAAAATATGCATTTGTCCGCACATAATTTGTTATTACTAAGACTGTGTGTAGCCCTCACTTCCGCATAAATTGATAAGAAATTAAAAAAAAAATATATGTGTATATATTATACATACATACACATATGTATGGACATAAAGGTTTATCAAATTTTTCTCTCAGATGTTTAGCAAGTATCGAGAAAATCAAAAAAATTATAAAAATAAAAAACATAATTAAATTGAGCTGTACCAAGTCTGCAAGTCTACTACATTTGTAAAAAAAAATACTTTCTGCCAATTAAATAAGTATCTGAGAACTTATACCAATAATTAGACTGACGTGAACACCACACCAACTGAGCTTTATAAATGAAGTCGCAAGATCTCTGCATACGATTTTACGAGGCTCAAAGAAGTGGAGCTAACAATTACGGAACACGTAAAATACCCAGGGCAGTAAGTTGTTGTAGAAGCTCTCTTTGGAGGAGTGAGTGAAAAACGCCAGCAATATCCTTTAATGAAGCATTTGGAGACGCTCAAATAGTTACGTTAAGCATGTCATACAAAAAATGTACATATGTACATATGTTTGTGTAAAATTCGCTTGTTGAAGCCCACACATTTAGAAACAAATACTCGTCATTTATCACTTTATATTTGCAGTGTTGTTGTTCTTGTTAGCTGAAGCGGCTCACTATCGATTGCTAGACGGCGAGTCTAGTCTAACGCCTGGTTTTCATAATAGAAAAAATGGTTACTGCTTAAATTTGAAGTGGTGCTTTTAAAACTTGAAAGAATTTTAGAGCTGATTCATCACAGGAGCTCTTCCAGAACTTTGTTTTTTTCTTTCACTGAATGCCTTTCTATTGAAAGCCTCTAGAAGAAATATTTAGTAATTTTTCTTTTTTTCTATTTTACAAGTACTTACGAGGAAAGAGCAGCGAAGGCTGTTCCATTTGGCAGTCATTTGCGATCGCGGCATCCTAAAAATATCTGCCACATTCTGCCATTGGGCTTTCCGAATGTTCCAATTGCGGTATTCTGGTGAGAGGAAATTTCAAGATTCTTTCCTCAATTCCACTTCGTGGATCAGTCAAATATGACCTAACGAAAAACAGGCATAAGTCTTCGAGGTCAAGGGTAGGAAACGAGCTTTTTCACCCGGGGTTAGTTGAGTTGGGCGACATGGGGGGACAACAAAATGGTTAATATCATGTGGGGAATCAAGTCTCGCTTGATGGGAATTAAATCGACCGAACTTGCAGCGTTCGGTTGTCAATTTGTATTCAGAAGACGACTTATTCCTATTGGCATCTGCTGCAATATTATTGAAAAAGAAGAAGTCTTAATGCTTACATAAAATTTATAGTATTTCATTTTAGGATTAAATATTTATTCTCATGACTGAAGAATTGGTTGAACTACGCCGCTGTATAAAAATACTAGATTGCACATTTTAAGATGCTTTTTTTGATGGATTTTTCACCCAAAAACTCTTGCCAGAAATTTGTTCTTATGTTTATGAGAGGAACGTAAGGAGAAGGAGTTCGGCAAGGTCGAAATAAATGGTAGTCTGATGGTACAAGGTCAGGGCTATATGGTGGATGCATCAAAAGTTCCCAGCCAAGCTTGCTCAGTTTTTTGCGGTCTAGCGTTGTCCTGGTGGAATATGACACCTTTACGATTGGCCAATTCTGGTCGCTTCTTCTTGATGGCTGTATTCAATTTGTCCAATTGTTGACAGTAAAAATCCGAATTAATCGTTTGGTTCCTCGGAAGCAGCTCAAAATATATGACACCCTTCCAATCCCACCAAACAGACAGCATAACCTTCTTTTGGTGGATATCAGCCTTTGAAGTGGTTTGAGCTGGTTCACCATGCTTGGACCATGATCGTTTTCGACTAACGTTGTTGTAAACAATCCATTTTTCATCTCCAGTTATGATTCGTTTTAAAAACGGATCGAATTCATTGCGTTTAAGGTGCATATCACAAGCGTTGATTCGGTGTGTTAAATGAATTTCTTTCAATACATGTGGTACCCAAATATCAAGCTTTTTCACCAGTCCAAGACTTTTTATGTGATAATGAACGGTTGATTTTGGTATATTTAACTTCTCTCCTATCTCACGCTCAGTTACATGACGATCCAATTCGATTAATGCTTTGATTTGGTCATCATCAACTTCATTTGGCCGACCTGAACGTGGCTCATCTTTAAGTGAAAAATCTCCAGAACGGAATTTGCGAAACCAATTTTGACACTGTCTTCCTTTTAAGGCTTCATCACCATACACATCTCGTAACTTTTTAGCAACCTGCTCCGCGTTTTTTCCTTTACGGAAATAATAAAGTAAAATATGACGAAAATGCTCCTTTGTGGGCTCCATATTAAAATTGACGCCAAACAAAAAAATGTTAACAAAATTTCGCGCACTTTTTTTCTAAAGCAAGCTAAAAGTAACAGCTGATAACTGGCAGAAGAAAGAATGCAATTACAGTCACAAGCCGTTGAAAAAATTTGTCAACGCCAACTATATGAAAAATCCGCAATTACTTTTTGGGCAACCCAAAACTTTGGGCGCTGGCTAATCGCTTCTTGCTATTTGAGTTTTTGCCTTCTGGCATATATGCCTCCTATGGCAATGGATAAGACAAATTTTTGCAAGAAGTCTACTGCTCAACCGGAATACATTTCAACATTGTCCTTCACTCGGTTAGATAGGTGTTGACAGGGACTATATGATGCAGGCCGCCGGTTTGCCACACACATATATTTATCTTTTAAATGTGCCAGCGCCTTTATGTACCAAGTTCGATTAAACTATCTCAAACCATATCGGTATATTTTTTGATGGTCCTATCTCTTGTCCTTCTGGTACTTATGTATGTAAATATTTAATTCGAACCTTTTTATGTTCAGAAAAGGTATACAAATGTTATGATTCGATGTGAACGAGGTCAATGATTTATTAAGACAAATTTTTCGCGCTAGTGGTCTGTGTCCAATTCGGAATGATTTTAATTTCATCTTTGGATGCGAACTGGAGCGTGTAGAAGGTGATCATGTTTCAAGCTGAACAAATGAAGCTAAAAGTGGAAATAGGTTGATAAAATTTAAAATGACATTCTTATCGTTCGCTAACTTCTTCGCCTTCCTCTTTCACTTATAAGTGCCACAACGCGAATACGCTTTTCGACAACCACAGGCGGTGACGATCAGATTATCAGTGGTCGACAACAACCCATTCTACGACACCATTATATTTAAAATGTTGTTGACGTCATTGCAGCGTCACCAAGAGACTCAAGTGAGTCTAACGCCTAATAACATTAAAAGTGCAAGGCAGCGAAAGCCGCTGTCAGATTGATGGCTTTAGAGGAATTTTCTAAAACTTAGTATCTTCGCTCATAGCTCAATAAACAAAAATGTGATGGACAATATAGACCCCATATACCCACGTTTCATTAGCGAATGATGGTTTCCAGTCACTCTAAAAACATAGACGTCCCATGCGATGATTTCTTAACTTCGAATTAAATTGAAGCTGGCATAGCAACCAGCCATTATAACCCACTACATATGGTAAATATTTTGAAAATTTTTTAAATAGCAATTAATGAGCACCTCTGTATTCTTACAACTGAAAAAATAATAACAAATTGCATTAACCCCAATTAAATTTAATTAATAATATAAATTAACAATTGAAGCATTTAAGTGCCTAGATAACTGTCTATATATGTACATATACATACTACGTGCGCCTGCTGGTTAGTGATATCGTATAAATATACGAATGTACTTGCTGCGTGCAAACACATTTCGAGATAGGAGATAAGTGTTTCTTAATGGGAAGTCGACACCTCCAAAGTAAATTTGTTTTATCAGAGTTTATGACTTTCCGGTACTTAATATTTGAACTTTATCATATTTATTTTTATACCGATTTTTATGATGGATGGTTTTGTTTGCTTCCGCTTTATAATTTTTTTTTTTTGCCTATTTTAATAGATTTGTGATTGATTCTTCCGAAAAGTACTTACGATTTAGGACCGCCGGCGCAGACTTAAGATTATTAAGGTCTAATCAACATTAGGTTGAGTATTTATTAGTTTCATGTTTCCAAAGATACTTGTCTTATAAATCGCTAAATAAATAAATTCTTAAACTAATGTTGATTAGACCTTAATTATCTTAAGTCGGCGCCGCAGTAATCAATGATTAATCATTAATTAATTGAAAGCAAATTAATTAATAACGTGAAGCATTATGCACGGCATCGACTTGGCGCAATGAGATGCTACGCCTAAAATTGCAAGCCTTCATGGAGTTAAACAGCACAGCAACCCGTTGTCTATGCTTTTGACAATGGATATTGTAACCACGATTATCGCACTAATTTGGTCAGACAAGCATTTAAAGTAAGCCAAGTTAAGAAAAGCCAGTAACCAAGCGATGAATAGAAATCATTAAAATATCGATAAACGATAACAGGATCTTTATAGTTTATCGATATTTTAATGATTTCTATTCATCGCTTGCTTACTGGCTTTTCTATTCTAGAAATCATTAAAATATCGATAAACGATAACATGATGAAATCATTAAAATATCGATAAACGATAACATGATCTTTATAGTTTATCGATATTTTAATGATTTCTATTCATCGCTTGCTTACATTAGCTTAACAATTTATTTCGAGTACTGGCACGACTGTTATACAAAACTATAGAAATTAGTTTTTAATAACAAAATGGAGAAGGAACTCCGCTTCAGCGGTTACAAAGCCCCAATTAATATTATACAAAATTACAATTTTTTTTTATTAAATTGAACTAATGCTTTTAAATATTTGAGTCTCTGATGGTGTTTGCAAAACTAACCTATAAAATTGACTGTTTCCATCATCTTTTTCTAAGAAATATTTTTGTATTATAAAAAAGTCACTAGTAGTGCGTAGAAGGTACTTGACATAATATACTCATTTGTTAAGTACACATTCAGCTATTCGTTAGAAAAAATATTAGTAAAACTTATTGTATGTAGTATCGATATTAACGATTATTCTTTTAATCAAGTTTTATTTTCTTACAAACATACATACATTTTTATACTCAGCGTTCTAAATTATCTACAAGATGATATTTGAGCAATAACTGTGTTTTTTAAATAACTCATATATTTTTTTATTTAAATTTATAACGCAGAAAACTAGGTACATCAGTACGAAGATGTAGATAAAAATGTTTTCTGTCAAATAAATAAGCAATTGCGACAGCACATATATATATATACATATACATATTTATTAAAACTAGAATGCATTTTTTACATAAATAAGAATTCATTTAGGACCGATTCCTTATCCCCTAGTTCCTTAATAAACTTGCCGAAGGCTGCTTTCTCAATCAAAACTGTGAAGTGGAAGGTTTCTTTATGACCAAATCACCTCGGCCGAAATTAAATTCATTGAACCTTACACTGAAAAGGATGCTAGAGAAAACATTTAATTACGAAATTCTTAACTTGAAATCTTGATTTGAAGGGAACAATAAATTTATTTTACAATTTATGCAGAAATATTGGTACCATTGCTCCTTAGTTATTTATATTTTATATTTTACTTTCACTGCTAACTGAAAACAAATATAACCGATTTATAATTTCGGCAACAAATTAGTAACGAATGAGAGCAAGAAGCAAATGTTGCCGATTTATCACAACGGCAATAAATCGGCGAGTTGCCTATTTGTCGCCATTGATTATTGTTGCCTATATCTCATGACTTACATATGGATTGTTATTTCACAAATACATATGTACTTACACACAAGTTTGTTTGTATATGTATGTGTATATATGTGTATGTATATAAATGCTTCGAAGTAAGCCGAAGGCACCATTCAGATCGTCGTCAATCGATTAATCTTATCCAAATTGCACTAATTTTTGCCAAATCTGTATGTGAATCGAACCATAATATATATAATTTTTCAAATTAATCGGACCACTTTATAGCAAGAATTTCAAGTAAATTAATTGATTGATTAAAATACGATTTTTTCGAATAGGCCAGTCCCGGGTGCATAATCAACATATTCTGTCTGATAGGTTCCGAAATACCAGAAAACTATAGTACAGATTAATGATTCTAATACACACATAGAAGCGTTTTAACCGTTGAAGCGTTTTTCATTCGAGCCAATTTTATTGTGCATCTTGACGATCTTCCAACAAATGGAGAGGCCCACATTTTATTTCATATCCGAAATATTATAGGAGAGCTTGACATTCCCTGCCAAGACACGATTGCAATAAAAAAATTTATGTTAAATTTTACATATGTATATAATTTTGCCTGTGTATGGGAAAACTGTTCATTCACTAGCCACAGAGCACACATACAAGCAGTGACAGAACCTTAAAATACCTTAGAAACACCTCCCTTAACATGGGCAGTATTACTTTTGTATTTATTGGAAATTTCCTACAGATTCTGGTCGTCATTAACAGAGGTACTCAAACAGATATCATTAAAGCTTACTTGAAAGAGTCTCTCTTATAAATTCACAACCATTTTAATTTAGCTCAAATGTTAAAGAATCAAAGATAAGAATTTTTCAAATCAACTGTTAAAACTTGGGTAGGAATTGGTTGTGTTGTAGAGCAATACGTAAGTGAAATATGATTTTGCTCAATTTCTGTGTTGTGGTCAGTTTTGCCTCAAAACAATTCATCCAATTTTATTAAAGAGTAAACATTTCAAGAGAAGGTGGGAATTGTACTCCCAAATCCCATCCTCACTGCCTAATCGCTTGGTCTTATTGTCTCTTGAAATAGAATTATTTCTTGTAGCATGATTTTTTTTTTAAACCGTAAGAGATATATAACAAATTAATTTAAAATTAACTATGTTTATTTGTTTTTTAGAGATTACATCACCCTCTACTTCCATAGCAAATGCTTCAGACGGTAATCAAACGCAAACGAAATTTTTCATCTCTACCTCTCAATGTAAAATACCTTACGTGCATCCTTTCGAAGAAGGAGTTATTCAAATATTCAATCCAAAAGAATATAAATACACCAATTGCACAAACGACGAAGCCTTCATAACAATTCATTACCAATTAAATGCGCAACAGTATTTCCTACACTTGAATATGCCAACCATAGAACGAGCTGTTGGATCGTTAAATGTGAGCGCTTCGGATATCCGCTGTTGTTATCGGCAAATTATACGAGCTGGAAGCGGTAGTTCGGCTGACACCAAAACGAAGTAGGATATTTAATTATGATTGTTTAATTATGATCAAATACCAATAAAATTACAAACTTTAACTTGTGTCCATTGAATTTTGAAAGCCATACTTTTAAAAATAAAGAAGAAGAATTTTGCCTCTTCAAGGAAATTAAATGAAAATTTCTTATTCTCTTTACAGACTCTTAGATTGCATTATGTTTGATCAAGATTACATGGTGCCACCCCACATAGAATATATAATCACAGAGTGTTACGCAGATCACACACGGAAAATACTTCTTCAGAAGGACGCTTTTTCTTTTATTCAAGCACGATTGATGACTCCGTCGAGAAATGTTACTAGTTTTGTAAAAAATTCACCCAACCCTAACTCAACCAGTTTGGGTGTGAGAAAGCCCAGTGTATTGCTGATTGGCATTGATGCTGTTTCCCGTATAAATTTGCGGCGTACGATGCCACAGACCTTCAGACATCTTCAAGTGAATCAGTGGATCGAGTTGCAGGGATATAATAAAGTGGGTAAATAAGAGCCTTAGGTGAAAGCTCTTCTTCTGAAAAATATCGCTACAAAATTTTTTTACATCTCTTCCATCCTTGTGGTACTTTTCAATGTTAATTATATACATACATAAACAATTCAAGTGGGTGGCAACTCTTCTCCAAAACATTAACCACTGCAATCTACCTTAAACTGTTTCTGAAAGAGTTGCCAGTCACCTGCAAATAAAAATTATTTAAAAATTTGGTATAGGTCTAGATATTTTGAAATCTCTTAAGAGTAATTTCATCGTTTCAAAAGAATTTTGAAAATTATCTATAATTTGCATATTTGAAAACTTGGTAGGAGAGACTGTATGGTGTAGTTTTCCAATTTCGAAGATCTTCGGTGTCTGTGCTAATTTCAAAAAACAATATATAGAGTATGTCAAATCTCACGCTCTTAGATGCTTTTTGAAAAAATTACGACTCAAAGTTTTAAATCAGAAACGGTCGAACGGTTCCAATAGATCTTCGATCATCGTTTAAATGTTGCAGCGCATCAAATTACCAAATTCGATTAGAACATCACAGGAACTGAGGGACCGGTTGACAGACGGACATGGCTGAATCAACTCAATTCATCATTCTGACCCGATAAATACTCTGGTACTTATTTAAAAACTTCAGACCGAAATACATATGCCATTTCAGGTATAAAGGTTTAAAAAGCATGTGCATACGCGTATGTGTGCGGCACTCTATTGTCATAAATACGTAATTTCTGTATTCTTCTTTCTTTGAGTAGGCTGATTGCACTTTCTCCATACACCCCTGCTGTTCGTAATCACCTCTCTGCCAGTGAAGTCAAATGATCAGCCTCATTCACCTTATCTGAAACTTCGTTTAGTATCGAACAGACTGGAGCGGTCCTTACCGAAACGGAGCATTTGGTGTTGCTCAAAGTTAGTTTCCATACACATAGATTTATAAGTTTTTAGCTGACCCCACATGCACATAAAGCAGCATAGAGGCAGCCCCTTTTATAGCAATCGAAGGGGGCTTTAAAATTGATAAGGAAGTGATGCGTGTCGAAACCTTTTTAACGGGGTTTGGTGGATGTTAAATATCTAGCTTAACGTAAATTGGCCATATCTATATCCTTCGTAATAATAAGGCACGATCAGGTCGAGCGTTTATTTCAGAGTCATTGTTTTTGAAAATTTGAGTTCACTTTCTCCGCGTGTAGCATTTCAGTAGACTGCGGATAGACGCGACGTACGGGAGCGCATGGTAGGTGGGTGTGAATTCAATTTTACTCATTTGCAAGTACGGGTATCTAAATGTGAAATTAAAGTCGAGGAGCGGTTGGGCATAGCTCGATATTCAGAGGGATGTGAGGCAAAATATACCACATACTCTGATGCTTTACCTGGGAAAGAAAATTTCAAGCTACGTTCAAAGGTCTAAAATGGATGATGAGGTAGGCGCCGAAACCAATTGCACTAAGCTTCTTTTTTCCAGTATAGTGCAGTATGTTACGTCTTTCTGAATGAGCTGGTCGCCGTTATAATTCCCGTTGTGAATGAGATGGAAAGCATCAGTGACATGCTAAACCATTAAGTTCATATGCAAGAGCAGTAAAGGAAGTACCTATTTCTTGCTTGCACGTAAGGACTGCTGGCCTAATGACAGATCACAACCAATTGGCATCACATGCAAGCAGAATAAATATAAATAGCAGTGATAAATGAAGGACTCATGCAGGAAGGTAGGCATGAGTGAGACAATGACTACCTTAGAACGCAATAAAACGAACTTCCATTTGACACAGAAAAACGCCAACGAGTCCATCAGCCGGTCAATACAGCCTAACCTAACCTACATATTTGTATATATTGAAATATTTGTTAAGAAGTGCAAACTTGTTTGTGAAAAATTTCATTCATTTTTGTTCTTATAATTTCTTATACAACCAGATTTAAAAGTTATTATTATCATAATTAATTAGGCTCTATTTTGTGCATATTTCCCTAGGTCGGCGACAACACTTTTCCGAATCTGATAGCGTTGCTGACATCATATAATCTTACAATGGCCAAGTCAATATGCGAACCAACAAAAGTGGGTGGACTTAATAGGCCTATTTGCAACTTTATTTGGAATACTTTCAAACAATTCGGCTATAAGACTGCCTACGCTGAGGATGTTGTCTCTTTGAGTACATTTAATTATCTGAAGAAAGGATTTGAACAGCCACCGACAGATTACTATCTACGTCCCTTGGCATTGGCCATTGAAAAGAATTTGAAAGTGGGAAAAGATAGTGGCCTACCATATTGTATTGGTCGTAAACATTATGGTGAATATATATATAATTTTGCACTCGATTATGCGAATGCCTTCCCCGAGGAGCCACACTTCGGTTTGTTTTGGACAAATTCTTTTAGTCATAACGCCTTCTATACAGAGGCCACAATGGACGCGAAATTGTTGGAATATCTGAAAAAACTAAAAGCCAATGGTATTTTGGAACGCTCGATCGTATTATTTTTCTCAGATCATGGCATGCGTTGGGGTCCACTGCTCAAATTGAGATCAGGGTTTTTAGAAGAGCGTCTGCCGATGATGTTCATCTCAGTGCCGTCATGGTATCAAAGAGAACGTCCGGATTTTATGAAAGCTTTAGAAATTAATCAACGACGTTTGACCACACCCTATGATATATATGCGACAATGAAGCATATACTTGAAGACACGGAACCGGGAGCACAAGTGCCCTATCTTAACGGCTCTACCCGCGGCCTTAGTATTTTTCGTGAGATACCGGAAAATCGCACTTGCAGCGATGCGAACATACCCGAACATTGGTGCACCTGTGTGCCATATGAGATTGTACCCACAAAGGATGCTACCGCCTTGAACGTAACCAAGATGATGATTAAAGAGATTAATCAATATCTAAGTAGGAAAAACATTACTGATAAATGTAGCGAATTGAATTTAAAAGAAATTGGGGATGTTAAATTGAAAATGCTTAGAACTTCAGACGAGTTCACTTATAGAATAACTTTTGATGCGAATCCGAAACAAGCAAGATATCAAGCGACTGTGGTATATAACAAAAGTTTAAATGCCATTGATATAGATGTCGAAGAGATATCACGTCTGGACTCATATGCGGAAACGTCGAAATGTATAAACTTGAAGGAAGAGAAAAAATACTGCATTTGTAAGAAGTGAGGAGTTGGTCCGTGTATGTATACATGTTATGTACGTGTATGCTTGTGCGAATTTGCCAAATATTTACGGTGCAAGCAATCATGAGATAATTTTAGTTAGTTAATTTCTTAGTTTTATTTGTTCTAGTGATTAATATTTATTGCCAAAAAAAAAGGTACAATGTAATATATTTTATTTTTATCATTTGGCGTATTGGTCCGGAATTTCAGTAGTTGTTTTTAGTTTTATTTGAAATAAAGAAAACAAACTGTTTAGAATTTTTATATTTTAACCACTATTTTATTACTTCATAAGACATAAAATTAGCACGCGATAATCCATATATAATTAATTGAGGAGCTCCTCATGATAAAACCATCAGCCGTTCGTAGGCGGCTAAGACGCAAAACCACAAATTGGAGGAGGAGTGCGGTGGAAAATCACTTCAGCGGCAACAAAGCGTAAATTATACAATATTTATATATTGTATTTTATATTATATATTATTTTATATATAATTAATTATAAAAAAGTACTTTTTCGGCTTCGCAGCGATCGAATACGAGCTTCGAATAAATATATAGTGCCTTGTTTTGCCTAGAGGTATAATATAATGAGTTCGCCACCTTGGCAGCGTTATGGGGACCAATATATCAAATACCGTATGCTGCATGCTGCAGAGGAGCTGAATTGAATTTAAGTGAAATCGCTCCAATGGTCCGCTCCATTGAGTTTGGCATTTTGGATAAGAGCAGATAAGGTAGCATATTTCCTCGTTAGCGGTGGAAGAGCGTTGATACATCTATTTCAGCTGGCTTTGTAATAATGGTCTAAGCGATTTCCGGACCACCGCTAGGGCGCGGGTTGGCATGAAGCGCTGTTATCCATTCTGTCGATGTGGTATTGACATCTATTTAAGAGGAAGCAATATCTTTATTAGGAGTGAGCTTGGCAGGAAAGAAGAGTCCGCCTTTCTACCATTCTCTACGAACTCGAAGAGAAACTTACGTATTATAGAAAAAGTTCTACAAATAATAAGCCAACTAGTGCTCTCAGCCGATTCGAACATATGACGTATTTTCATAAGAACTTTTTTACTTCCCATTAGAAATTCACTCAGTATGTTGGTCATTCCCTGGAAAGAAACGATCGTAAATAGAAACAATTTTCGGTTGTTGATTTTACAATTTTGTATCGAAACGCGTAGGAGGGAAAAAAGGAAAACAAAGGTTTTTACTTTTAATTAACGGCCGAAAAGGCCCAAAATACAAACCAGAAATAATTTTCGATTTTTGTTTGGCTGGAATTCGAACCCAGGATTCTTCGAATTGTTGCACACACTGCTCGACTACTGCAAGTCACTGTTAAAGGTTGAGCTAAGTAATGTAGAAATCAAGACTTAAAACTTAAACTTAAATCGATCCCACCTCAGTAGCAAAAATATACGTCCGATTTGGTATTAGAATGTGTCCAAAGGCAGCAGTGTGCGTTTGTGTGGATTCTAATGTGTGAATAACCTGTTAAGCAAATAAAAAAAATTATTAATTAAAAAATATGTGATATAAACATAAATTTAAAATATCTGTACATTTAACCGATTCCAAAAATTACTACTCATACGCCATAACACATAAATTTTTTTTCAAACAACTATATTTCTAATAAATATAGTCTTAAGGGGCTAATGTAATGGGAATTTTCATTAAAAAAAATACTTTATCAATTATTTCAAAATTTTACGAATATATTTATACATGTTTCAAGAATACACAGTGAAATTTTTGAAGAAAAAAATTAAATATTTTTTAAGTAATAGACGATCTTCAACGGCCTTCCGACCTTCTCCGTGGATGAAATCTAAAAAACAAAATTCTCGATGAGATAATATTGTCTTTACAATGACCTACGATACAAAAAAAAAATAAAAAATTGACATTATGGCGGCGTTTTAAAAAAAATAGTCGAATTTTACCCAAAATTTTGGTCGTTTTTGGCTTGCCAAAATTCGATTTTTTTGATCAGATCAAAAATCGATAGGTCATTGTGCGGAGAACTATATATAGAGCATGTAATCACTGCAGCAAATTCGGATTCGATTTGAATTTTTAATATGTTATTTTTAAAGGTAAGATTTTTTGAAATTTCATACTAGGTGTGCCCCATAAGCAATAGATGAAAAATATTACTAATTACTTTTTTTTTAATTTTTGCTTAAATGACATCAAAGTATTTGATGCAAAATTTCAACGAAAACCCATTCTTTGAACTTCTTTCGTTTTTATAATGAAATTATATCAATTCGACTTTTAACTCTATTTTTTTCTTTAAATATTTAATTAATTTAGAATTGAAATTTTTTTTCAAAGTTTATAATATACAGCATTAAATATGCAATATTTAATATTATTTTTTTTTTGTTAAAACTAGTTTCAATTCAAATGCTTTTCTCAATTTTCTCTAACTTTAAAACCAAAATTAAATCGAATTCTTTACGCTGGCTAATTGCTTTCTGTTATTTGAATTTTTGCTTCCTGGCATATATGTATGATCAGCGAAATTATGTGGCAAAAGTGCTTATTGCTTGCAATGGAATTTACCATCTTATGGTCCAGATCAGTTATTTGTCTATTTGATCTGCTTTGCGTCTTCCCATCTCTGCTTCCGGGAAGCGATGGGCGTCTGTGTATATTGGCTTTTATGGAAGTGCGCCATTTGAATACATTTCATATGCTCCCCCACTCGCCTAGAAACATATTATTTGCAAAATTTGCAATTACAAATTGTATGAAAGAAAATTTTCCTAAATTATTTTGCTTTGAAAGTTTTAATTTAAAATTTTCAATACAATATTATGCTATCAAAACTTAAATTAAATCAAATCATATATAGAAATTTTCTCTAAGTTTCTTCTATTTTGAAAAGAAAATGAAATTTAAATATTTTATTTTTTCAACTTTAAATTTCTTTAATTTAAATTTGTCTAGGTTTTTAAATAAAATTAAATAAAATTAATTAAAGAGTTTTCAATTAAATTGAAATCTCATATCATTCGGAATATATTTTTTTACTGAGTAGGAAAATCTAATTTTCTAAGAAAAATAAAATTTAAGCAAAAACAAATTATTAAAACAGAGTTTCATTTGAGACAAATTTTTTTTATCGGGGCTTTTAAAAATAAAACTAAGTTAAATTATTTACAAGTTTTCTAGCTAACATTGATGATTTTCCGAGATGAGGGGCCTGTAGCATTTCTAAGCCACCTCTGATAGATTAGTAAACATAATGACTCGCTTTCGATCGTGTATGTTGAAGAAGGCTTTTTATATAATTTATATTAAAAAAATGCTTTTCAACTTTTTAAAAAAATTATTTTTAAAACTTTTGGCTTTTAAGGGGTTTTAAGTGATTGCAAATCACCTTCAGGGTTGGGGTGGTGTGGTAAGTTTTTTCAAACCAAATTTAAGTTTTTTATTGAGTAAAAAATACCGTGAGAAAGTGCAAAAGCAAAAATTGCCAAATATTTAATTGTATTTCTTAAGAAACAAAGGAAACAGCTGATTTGAAAGTTACCAAATAACGTAGTCTCTATCAAGATTGTCAGTTCGGTAGTTTGTTACTCGGTTAAACGATCTGTTAATTTTACAATATCCAAATACACCTAAAAATCTATCGAATAGTTATTATGCTTTACTTCTATATTGATATCGTTTGTAAAAACAAACACCCCACACAGACAAATAAGCCAGGAGTTCGGATATCTCGGATATTTCCTTCCCACCATCGTAATAAAGTATTATATATACCAGAACCCCAATTTGGTTTTCGTGATAAAGATTGTACTGCAAAACATGTAGTCCGATTTACTTGTGAAATTAGGCATTCCAGTTCAGAGAGTATTGATATCTTACTGGTTAAGCCTGAAGTAAGTACCTCATAAAACTAACGCTTTTCGAAACTGATACGGAAATTCCCTACTGCGAAGATTCGTTCCCGCCTACTTATGAGAGCGCCATAGTTGGAAAGAGGCGCTTAGATAAGTCGAGACAACATAACAAAACTTTCTATATGTCATTTCGAAAATAATGAAATTAATAGCTAAGCACTTTCAAGTCTCAAAGAAAGTAATAAACTTCATATCTTCAATGAAGTCAGTTTACAAAAATATTCGATGGAACCATGAGTAATATACGAATATATTCAAACTATTGTAAATAAGTAAACTTATTCTTTTCTTTCTATTTCCTTCAAGCAAAGTTCAGTGATATAACTTTTCGCAATCCGATGCCAATTTTACCATCTTACCGCCTCAACGGCTTATCCGAAATGCCAGTCATCCAAAATTAGTGGACTTGTAGAGCCAATTTTCATATTTATTTGGCATAATTTTAAGACAGTAGTCTGCTTTAGAAGCTTTAAAAACTAATTTTTTCCTTAAATCCATACTTAAACTATTCAAGAATATGTCTTCAAAATTTCGGTGCCCAAATTTTAGAAGCAAGCGCAGTTTTGGTGCCCGAGCGTCTAGTAGGCTCCAATCAAAAAAAGAATCTAGCTTCAGTATTAAATTGTCCTCTATTACAACTAAAAAAGTTGGGCAAAATTATTATTTAAACTATTTTTTTTTCAAAGTTCGAACAAATTTGGAGTTTTCCAACTTCTTCGGTATTTTTTTAGTTCATATGAAAGAGACATTCATATTAATAAAAAAAAAAAATTGGTTCGAATGTTTCAGACGCCTCTCACGGCCTCCATCACCACATTGGAAAATTGCAATATTTTTTAATACTAAAAATTGTTTTCTGAAGCTTAAATTTAGTGCATTGTTATCTTAAAATGTCGTAAACTTTTCGAAAATGAAATTGCTGAAGGGCTCTAAGGATCTACCGACCGATTACTACTCAAGACCCACGACGTTGGACATTGAGACAGTGCTGAAGGTGCCGTGCATAGCCGGTGTCACCTATTGGGTTGTACGTCGCCATAACGGTGATTATTTGTTAATGCATTTTAAATTACGAATCGATGAATATACCGTTGTACCAAGCCTCCGTTTGTTTTGGACAAATTCTTTGGTCAGAATTAAAGAAATTCAAGAGTGTTAATATTATAAATATTTTATATCTGATCATGGCGTACGTTGGAAGCCGCTAGTCAAGCTTAGTACGGCTTGCCAATGTTCTTCACATCACTAACGTGGTGTAAAACAGTGGATCCTTGACAATGAATCAGAGACAC